ACATTGGCATATCGGTAGCAAAGGAAAGCTGAACAGTGTTTGAAGGTGTTAGAAAATTGTGAGCTGTCATATTTACTGGCGTAAGCGAGAGAAAGAAACAAAGCAGCACATAACGGAAAGAGAAGAGAGAGAAAAGGAAAAGAAAGAAAGAAAATGTTGTACCTATCAATTATGTGAGTTGGAAAGACGAGATCTAGTTGTACTACTGACTATTTAATGAATTAAAGGTGTCACGCCTAACGTTTTCTTTATCGTACAGAACACGAGCTAAGTAGGGTATGGTTGAGTTTATGTACTTGCTGGTGCGAGCATATAGTTTTCTATATAGGCTTCTGGTTTTGACCGATGAGATGCAAGGGGAGAGTTGCGAGTGAAGGGGGTGGTGTGAGTTAGATAAAATGGAATTGGCCCATTTTTCACATGAGTCCATGTGCCTGTCGACCAGAATATTCACAAGCTGGTTAAGTGGCACGTTGCTTACCATGCTGACAACCCTTAACATCCCGCGTAATATGTTATAGTCTTTTGAATGCTTTTATGTATAGTTAAGACATGCAGACGAGCCATTCGTCACTTAGAAGAATTATTTTGTTAATGATAATATTTCACTGCTATCCAACAGTTGGTAGGCATCTTTAAAATCCACTTTAAAAGAGAAATGTGACATAGGCACCTCTTTTCTTCATGTATTTCTCACAAAACGTAGAGATAGATCTTTTTAAAAAAGCCTTACAGCAGAAAACCTACTTAGAATAGATAGTTCACTAGTTTCTATAGATGGATATCCGTTTCATACAGGACTGATGCGTCTTCTTCGTTTAAAATCCTCTAAAATGAAGCGTAGAATTTAGCTATTTCATGGATTTAAGTCAGACTTTTGTGCATTAAAGAAGTTGTACAATTCTCATTTCTCTTCTGGGCTTCAAGTAGTAGGGATGGATAAATATTTTTTTTGATCATAGCTTGATTCCACATCGTATTTTTTGTTCTAGTATGAAATTCTCAGCATGTGATATCGGTAGCCAAAATTTTGCAGGCCAACCATTGATATCAGGTGTGCGTCGGCCGGGGATCGAAACCCGGACCACGTGCATCGTCGGTGACAGTCCTAACTGCTGAGCCACCAACGCACATATGTTAATTTTATTTTTTCTGTATTTTTATGTCTTTTCCCATATTATTACTGTTATTATTATTATTTTCAGTCTGAATGCTTTTCTGAATTATCTCACAACCCCCTTTATTCATTTCATTAAATCTATGTTTTGCAATTTCAACCGTCTCACTGTGTTACCCTGTTTGATTTGCGTAGAAATAAATTCTTTTCAGTTCGACCTATATAACTAGCTCGATATGAGCAGTTGAATTTGTTTGTATACACATATTGATATGTGGCCAACTTTCTTATTCCTTTTCACACCTAGTGTTTACCCCCACTCCATTATTATTATTATCCTTATTATGTGTCAACTTTTGCAATTTACACTAGGCCTATTGTGCCTCTAGTATTTGATTACAGTTGACAATTCCACCTCATTATTTTATCACTACACTTGATATGTGTGTCAGCCTCTCGCTTGAACTTATATTCAGTGTTCCTCATTTGTTGGTATTCGTTTGCATGTATTTTGTGGTAATCATTTTCCTTGCAAACACCATTGAATATATAACTCACCCCCACCCTCCACTCCCCAATGAAACTTATATTCTGTTAACTATAAACGTATATTCACACTTTATCTTATGTTCTGAATGACTATACACTTTATATACATTCATTTAACATTATTAACTAACGAACTATCATTCCTTATTATAGGTGCATCCCGATACAGTTTCTTATATAATTTTCACTTGCCTTTACTTCCATATTAGTTTGTTTATTAGATGTATCACACAGTGAAACAGTATTACTGCTTACTCGATAACTAGGTTTCAAACAAAATTTATTGTTCATAATCATATCATCAGTTATAATCACACGACTTCGAAACTTGGGTTTTATAGTCTTGTTTGTTCTCTCCTATTTGTCGTTGTTGGGATAAAAATTTGAGCGAACAATTGTTTCGATAATTCTTCTTCAGCTCTACAGTTAAATCGCTTATGTACCCTATTATTCATGGATTTATCTGTAGTAGGATTTTCCAGTTGTCTGCCTGCATAGGTGTTGAATCATTCCTATTACACGTGTTGATTCGCAGTTGATTCGATAAATAAAGCCTCAGTCAGTTATCAATCTCTCCCTACACCCAGCTGTTACATTAGATTTTAAAACAAACTGTCATCTTATCCCATCCATCCTATTGTATGGTTGTGTGTAATTGCATGTAGTGAGTGCTATCTATGGCTGAACTATTCTCTAGATTTCTTATCTTATTCGGGTCAACTAATCTAGATTTTGCTACTAGAATTTTATGCTCGGCTAATCTGACTACCCGTGTTCTACTACTTTGACCTATGTATTTGACTTGACAATCATTGAAGGCAAGGTGTTAGATAAACTAAATTTTGTTTTGTTTTAAAGGCTCCACAGGATTGATCCTTCAACCGACAAAGCTTATTTCTAATTGAGTTTGTGGGTGGTTTGAATGCCAGCTACTTTTATTCCTGCATTGTTTAGAATTCCGAGTAATGTTTCCGAGGTTCTTTCCTTGTAAAGAATTACTACTGATGATTTAGATTCATTATTATCGGTGTTGTCATTATCTTGCGCATGTTTGACATGCATGTCGTCATTACTGTTATCATTATAACCGTTATCATTATCATTATCACTACCAGTCAGACTAGCCGAGCATAAAATTCTAGTAGCAAAATCTAGATTAGTTGACCCGAATAAGATAAGAAATCTAGAGAATAGTTCATCCGTAGATGGCACTCACTACATGCAATTGCACGCAACCATACGATGGGATGGACGGGATAAGATGACAGTTTTAAAATCTAATATCAAAGGGTGCAGGGAGAGATTGATAACAGAACCGTTGTTTATCGAATCAACTGCAAACACGTGTAATAGGAATGATTCAACACCTGTCCAGGCAGACAATTGGAAAATTCTACTACCCCACGACGACAAATAGTCAGGAATAAAGAAAGCTATAAAACTCAAGCTTCGAAGTTGTGTGGATATACTTGGTGATATGATTATGAACAATGTCATAAATTGTGTTGGAAACCTTGTCATCCAGTATGTAATAATACTGTTTCACAGACTGTGTAATACATCTGATAAACAAACTAATATGGAATTACTTACTACCACACTGCCAAAGTTTTACACATATAATAACTCGCCTTTACTGGCTATTTGTTTAATAATATCCATAGATTTCATAATCTGTTTTATGTTTAACGTTTATTCATAATCACAAATATTTTGTCTAAATTTAAAATTATTGTCATCATCATCATCGTTATTCACAGGTGTTGTTAAAAACTCCTCACGTGATATAATATCTTCAAAAACCATTTACATGATCATGAGCAAGTAGGTGAGACTGCTAAAGTGTATTTCGGGGCTCGAGTCAAGTCACTTGTGCCTCATGCAAGTGATCTAAGTGATCAATAGTTCAAATCCAGTTGTAACTTATATTCGTAGTCCGACTTCAAGTACCATTTTCATTGCGTCGATTCAGTAATGAAAGTTTATGTAACCTGTCTTGTCTCCTACTATCTGTGGATTATTTTGAAACAAAAAGTGTTCATTAGCCATTCAGCTTATTCACCTTAGACAACCAATCAGTTAAGTACTTCATGTTTCAACAGTATCCACGTTTACCTCATACCACAATAAACATCACATTCGATGATGTTAAATAGTTGGAGGCAATCGGCCACAGGAAGCCTTGCTTGACCTAGGTTTCGTGCTATTTTGCACTCACCAGTCAGTCAGCAAGACGTATCTGCAACCTTGAAGGAACAGCTCATGTCCCTCCTTCTGAGATTAGAAGTCGCGTCATCCAGTGCAGTGCTGCAGTCAGAGACGGTACCACTGAGCTATTCGGGCTCGCGATTGACCACCTGTAGGACTGTATTGGGTATTTGGATTGGACACTAGTTTGATGTGTGTGGTCCTTTCTTTCGTGCAGACTGAATTCTATCATCAGTCAGGTTTGCAATGTGGCCACCATTTCACTAGGTAGCTCGTAATCACGGTGTTCATTGATTTGATGGTATTAGATAGTTGGAGGAAATCAGTAACAGGAAGCCTTGCTTGACCTAGCTTTCGTGCTAGTTTACACTCGTCATATATACATAATATTCATTCAACGAATACTGGAAATATATTGAAAAAGGTACATTATAATTGTATTCACTGAACTGCTACACACTTTATTCTGATGGCTAGTGTTGAAAAAGTTAACACAACACGTAAACGATAATGTATAACTTTGTGATACAAATTACCTTTTATGCATTAGAAATCCGTATCTTTTTAGATATATCTGTAAAAACATTTTTGTAAAAAGTCAACAGAGTGTAGTATTTAGGTTTCGACTTACCTACTGTGTGGCAATTTGATACATACCAGGTTCCAATTTTTTTCTTTATCTGCCTGAACTGATAAATTTTTTTCAAATGAAGAAAAAGAGGTTATTCAACTGCCTGTCTACTACCTCACTTACTTACTTACTTACTTACTTATGGCTTTCACTACTGCCCTAAACTCACCTAATCTCACCACATACCCTACTTTAATTCACTAAAATGTTTCAACAATTAGCACAGATTATCATTGAAAAAATATATACGTATATATCTGTATAACTTCGGTATAGAAATACTGTGTATGACTAATATTTCGGCAAAATCCTTCGGCAGCTGAAAATAGATACTTGGTCGTATTGTGAAAATTACAAATGTTGATATGTGTATACAAATATCAGCACGAATATATATTTTTTTAAATGTAAATAATTCACAATGCACAGGTGCTTATTTTTTTGGCGATAAATGGAGAAAAAAAGCACAGGTAGATTTTATTCAGTAGGCGGTTACGTCATCCAATACTGGAGGGGTATAAAAATGTAACACACAGTACGAAGTGAATTCACCTCATTCTATTTACCGTCATTCGGTCAACTGAAAGAGGGTAAGTCCTGTGAATATTTACTTATTAATCAGTTAGCGATGTTTGAGTTTCCATTTTATCTTTTAAAATGCTTTATCTAAAACTGGGGTTGTTAACTTGGATTTGTAGTATTCACACACACGTACTCACTGACTAGTATCTACCAATTTAACTGCTCCTGTGGAGCCAGTTACATAGGCCAAACAATTAGGCGTGTTTCTTGTTCGATTTCCGAACATCATCCTGCATAGTGGTTAAGTAAAGGTCAAACAAAATCCATTCACAGTGCGCTATTCTATCTCATCTTGTGGATACAGAACACAAGATTGATGTCAACGAGGCAGCTTTCAAAGTCATTTACCGCATACCAACAAATCTTAACTTCGCCTTAAGAGTTCGTTTACTAAATATTGCTAAGGCTGTTGGGATCCACATTGAGAAGCTTAATTTATGTGTCCAAAAGAAGCTAGCTCAGACACAGTCCTTACCTTGGTCATCTAGGTTCGAATGATCCTCAGTTTGCTGTGGAAATCTCCTTAATTTTAGCTGATATTCTATTTGCTATTATATCTTTATTATTATTATAATTTAAGTATCTTTAGTGAACTGTAATTACATTGATCCTACTTTACAAATCGACATTATTTAAAAGACACTAATGTTATTATTGACTACTAATCTAGAATATTCTATGTATATAAAAACATATATATATATATAAATGTAGAGCCAGAAGAGGAGGAAATTATCGGAAAGGATATTCTTTGCTCAATTATTTTGTATTTTATAAACGTCTCAGAGACTGTCCTTCAGTACTGCATATACCACTTGGAGTAGGGATTTTATTGTAGTCATAAAACTATTACTCAATCAGATTTTCATGACATGCAGATATTTCTGCAGGACACAGAGCTGAGTTTTGTTTAGCAGTGACGCATCACTAAAGATCACACCTAGAGATAATTCAAATTAGTGAAATGCAATAAACAACTAGTTCTGGTATCTTTTGATATTGTATAGAAGTCTGGTTTCCTGGATAACCTACAACAGATGATGTGATTCATAGTAGATAACAGTAATGCAGGAATTCTGAACAAACTATACCACTGTTACACTGTATTACACAGCAATTCTTGCACGGATAGACTTTGTAAATTATGTCCTATTTGATCGTGTACGTTTCATAACCAGATTTGGTGTCGTCGGCAATAGCAACTTCATGTCTACATGATACGTAACTGGAGGTTGAATAAATAAAGACAAGCAGAAGTATCGCACTTAGTCTATCACTAATCCTGGTGAAGAAAAGCCTGTGACTAAACATCAAAGCTCACATAATGCCAATCAGTTTCGATCCTGATCTGAACTACGAATCTTTCTATTACTTCAGTGTGAAACTTCATTAGACAGTCTTTATACGACTTTTTTGAATTCCGTGATATATAGTTTGCGTTCACCATCACAGACGTCACTTACATGGGTATCATGTCACTCTCATCCCTATATTGTATCTAAAGGGATTGATGATTACTCAAGGATTACCTTATCGAAATATCCAACGCGTTGATTGTCCTAATTAAGAAAGGCAATCATCATTCAGAAGAATTCTGACATAGTTCTTTTCTGTCTTATTAAGTGACTGATTATCTACAGAAATACATGAGGTTATCCTTAGTGACACCGTTGCGATACAAATACAGAGTCTACTGAATGTTGGGTAGGATAGTGGATAAACCGACTTGGAATGTAGCGTATCATATTTCTTTACTTCAATGATATATGGAATTTAATGACAAAAATAGGTAGTGGCCTAATGGTCTACGAGCTCGCCTTATAACCACAAGGTCCTGGGTTATAACCCCCTGTGGTAGGTGAGTACTGTGAAGGGTGCCAGACCAGGATGAAACAGCTAGTTGTTCATTACTCCCTGAAGTTTTCCAATGGTTCTCTAACTAATGTCAGCTCATGATGAAATCTTGTAACCAATTAATAAATATTATTCATGATCAGTGTTACTATAGTGACTAAGAAGGGAAACTTGATAGCAATGTGAAAATTAAATAAAAAAACAACATTGTTGCGTATATATGTGGATATCACTGTAAATGCATATTTTAAAAAGCATGCATGCAACACTGTGAGTATACATGCATGTTAGAGATAAATGGATTTTGTCCAATAAACGGTTATGTGATTCCACTGGAAGAGCTATAAATAAATGTGAAACATTGGCAAGTGAATCCATTACTATCATTGTGATCAACTGAGGGTAGGTAGGTTATATGAATATTTTGTGAAGTATTTATTTATTTATTGGCCTTCGCTTATTCAGTTAATTAATTAGTGTTATTGGAGTATACCTACTTATTCCTAAAGTTAATCATATAATTAAACACTTTAGTACAAATTTGTGGCATTTTTATATACTTCTACTCATTGACGAGAATTTATTGTGTAAATGTTCCAGAAAAAGTAACTGAAAGATATCGTCTTTTTATGGAAATACCTCATTCTAATACGAATTAGGGTGTTGATGATATAAAGATATTCCTTTCAGGACATGGTGTCCAGTTAAGTAGCGATGCATCACTGAAGATGGGACTAACATTTATTTCAAAATACTGAAATGGACTGAATTCGTTTAAAAGATATTGTAAAGAAGGGCTGGTTTTCTAATTGATATCTCCCAGATAAACGAAAATCAGATGATAAATAACAGACTTTATTGATAAGATTTTATTCCACACATCGTTTTTATATTATCGAGCCCCAATTCGTTACTCAAGGTTTTCAGAACACTGACATCATTGTGGTCGATTGATAAAATATAATTTGAGGTGTGCACCCACTGTGTTCTGAACAACACTGATCAATTAAGTTATCACTAAGTCTGGTGAAGAAAAGCTTACGACTAAACATCAAAGCTCTTGAATTACGAATCTCTCCTATTACTTCAGTGGTGATCTTCATTACACATTCCTTATACTACCTTTTTGAATTCCGTGATATAGAGTTCGTGCCACCCACATTGGTATCATATTACTCTGATCCCTATATTGTAGCTGAAGGGATTGTTAATTATTCACGGATTACCTTACCAAAATATCCAACGCATTGATTGTCCTAATTAAGAAAGGCAATCATCATTCAGAAGTATTCCGACATACTTACGTTCTGTCCTATTAAGTGACTGATTGTCTACAGAAATACATAAGGTTATCCCTAGTGACACCGTTGCGGTACAAATACAGAGTCTACTGAATGTTGGGTAGGATAGTGGATAAACCGACTTGGAATGTAGCGTATCATATTTCTTTCCTTCAATGATATATGGAATTTAATGTCATGAAATTTGTAGTGTTGTGAGTTTAACTTTGTCGACATGCCACTGTTGACCTTGATGACAAACGAGTAGAACAAATGCATTAGCTATAGTGTTGCGTCTTGGGTAAACCATTGAAAATTGGTGTAGGTTGTGTTTAGCAACTGATTCTACAAAGTCAGACCTATTTCCCTTTGTGTATTAACTCATGCAGGCAACTAACCTCCTTAATATTTCGGTGGTACACTCGAGCATGAAGGTTTACGATGTGTCTTAGATGTGTCCATCTTGACATAGAACACTCACTTCTTCATCCTTCACCACATGGACTCTCATTTTCTACTAATCCGAGTACTGGTTGATGAATTGCTGCATCCCCGAATAAATAAATATGGGAATACCAGCTGGTGAATATTAAACTTTATCGATAGAACTTCCTTCCACTTCGTTTTGATTATGGAGCCTCAATTATTTGCTCAGGATTTTCAGAACACTGACATTATTGTGGTCAATTGATAAATTCAAATTCGAGGTGTGCTCACTGTGTTCTGAACTGCACCACGAAGAAGACTAGATCAACAGTAGAGCTGGTTAACACAACCTAAACTCAGAGATACTTCTGAACGATGACAGTCAAGAGTAGGCAACATTCAGACGACGAGAAATTTTGACAATTTATGACTGACTTTTAAATCTATATTGACAGGATAAGCTGAATTGACAGTGTTGTCTTTAAAATAGTGTGTGTGTGAGATTATAAATTCCGTCATTTTATTATCGATTAGAAACTTCTTTGTTTTTCTTTTTTTCAATCTTAAGGTGTACAGAAAATGAAAAATTTGTTCTTCCTACTGTTGATAACAAGTCTTCTGTGTTGGTCATCTGGTAATCCAATCCACACGGAAGTCTCAGTAACAGAACCAAATGAAAAGTAAGTTCTGAACATTGATATAAGAATAGAACTTGTGCACTGTGTTAGAGTATAATTCCATTATGGGTAAAATTTATTTTGATAAAGTCTCACAGTGCTTGTTATACAGTAATACTTACTGATGAAGTTTCAAGCACAATTTGCTACTCATAACGAATTAGATGAATTAAAGAAGTGTAAATATCTATTGGCAGAATGCATTGGCTTTCTATAAACGCTGGTGTGTGTGCAGTTTACCTTCTTTTGTTCGTTTTATGTTGCAGTCCAACATCATAGCTAATTCTCCTTGTTCATTTTTCGATTCAAATGTGAATTTTATTCCCACTACTAGTGAATTTATATGTGTCAAGAAGCTGGAGATATGTTTTTTTTCAACACTGTGGAAGTGTCAACCACATATCTCCAACATATTATCTTTGGAGTAAGATTAAATGTATTCAGAGGAATATTTTGCCAGTTGTCCATAAAGATGACTGCTACGATAGGGGATATTGGTGATCCCATCGCATTGCTACACCATCTGTTTGTCTACATATTTTGCCTTGGAATTTAAATACAGTAAATGTGAGGCATAACTGAATTTTCAAAATAATTTTCTCATTTGGCAGCTTTGTCCTATGACCAAGTTCGGAATCAGAAGTCAGTTCCCTTTTAACCGCTTCCAAAGCCATACTGATTGGTGTACAGACTAGTCATATCGTAACTGACCATTTTTTCGTTATTCTCTGATGGAATGTTATTTAGTTTCCTTTTCATTTCACATGAATTAGTTAGTCTAGAGTTTGAATGATTTCTAATGGGACACAGTATTAGAGCTAGGTGTTTGATTATTCAAATGTCGGCGTATTTCTGAAATCTACTATTGGTCTTATGGGATAACCTGGCTTATTTATTTGAATTGTACCATATATTCTACTAGCATTATTAGTTTTAGGCATTAAATTAAACCATTTAGACTCACCAAGTGACGGCTTCATTCTGCGTATAGAAAATACTACTGCCAATCAAATCAAGCGATGGAAAATAATGGAATTCCATAATGAAGTTAGAAAGTTGTGTGAGTAACTTGACATGATTATGAGCAGTTACAAACTTTGCTCAAAACGTTGTCATCAGTGAATATTATTGTATAACACTGTGAGACTTTATCAAAATAAATTTTGAAAAAGAGAAGACGTTCAGCGAAGACACTCTTTTCGGCGAATTCATTCACATAGCTGTGCAATCGCATTTATATATAATTATTTTGTGTGTGTGTACATGAGGTTTGTCAAGTTTAGATAATTGATTAGTTAATACAAGAATGATGTAATATAAAAACAAAGTTAATCAGACAGCAACTAAAGTAAGATTGAGTTAATAAGCTAGATGACGTAATATAATTGACTAAGATGTCTCAACTTAGATCAGGGTAGCAACAGAGGTAATTACAGGTAGAGACTAAGTAGAAGTGAAATTGAGCAAATAAGTTGGATGACGTAACATAAATGACTAGAAATTGAGCGTTGTTCAAGTCAGTAACAGTGGTAGTGAGGTGTAGAAATTGAATCGGGTGGGGGTAGAGAACAAGAAAGTTGAAAATGTAAAATATTACAATTGAGAAGACAAAATAATACTAATGAAGAGACAGAAAGAAATAGAATTAACCTGTTGGGTATTAAGACAGATTACGTCCATTGCAAGTGTAGAGATTGAACGAACTTCTTCTGTATGCAGAGTTCAGGACTTAGCAAGTGAATCGCCATTGCTTCTGCAGTTTGAAGAAGTCTGATTTGTACACCTTTAGGAAGACTACTTCTTACTCTGTAGACGACTTTGAAGTTTGTTTGGGGTGTAGCTTGGTGTCCGGATTCTATCAGATGTTCTAAGATGTAAGTGCGGGGGCATCGATTTTCTCCTTTGTAAAACCATGTTGGTAAGTGTTCGGTGACACGTTTGGAAAGCGAGCGCTGGGTACGGCCGACATACCTGGCTCCACACGAGCAGGTGAATTGATAAATACACATTGATGAGGCCAGCAGCGGTAGCTTATCCTTCACGTTCACAAGAATCATGGGTTTTGTGGAGAAGGTTAGTCGTAGTTCAGCTGCGAAAATAAATTTTACCCAAAATGGAAGTTCTAAACATCTTTTTCTATTATATTGAAATTGTAGAGGAAAGATGACTGATTGATTGTCCTTGTATTTATTCTTGTGTACCCCCCCCACGTCGCGAACGTCACTGCAGTAGTTTACGTATTAATTTACAATTATTAGTCTTGTCGAACACTAACTAGCACAGGCCTCAGATTTACACAAGTAGCCTTGTTACTGAATGTTGGTTGGTTAGCCGAAAACAAGAATTATAAAAGACAAGGTTATCAGATCTCTTGGTTAGGGGAAGGTCACGTCTTACACTCGCTGGAGAGAAAACGTTCTGATGTCTAAGCCTTGCACACTTGACTGACTCTGGTAAAATGAATCTAACAAGAGTAATTGTCACATGAACTGTGATCAATATTTGACCGGATAGTTGCAAAATAATTGAGCGCTGAGTGAGAAGTAGACATTTATAAAATTATATTTGTAAAATCTCAGCGAAATTGAAATGATTAATTCCAACGTTTCGTTCGGCAATCTGGTCCGAACTTCTTCAGGGAAATTAATCGAAATTAACATAACAGAAGTTTAAATATAAAAGGAACATCTCTTGTTTTTAAAAAACTTTGTCCAATCATGAATCATAAAACAGGCATCAACATGTATAATAAACAAAATTGTATGTTTATATATAAAAGTACATCTCTTGTTTTTAATTGTTTGTCCTGTCATATGAATCATGAAACAGGTATCAATAGGTATAATAAACAAAAATTGTATGAACTGTGATCAAAATTTGACCTCAGACTTTCAAAATTAGTCTACATTTAATATCAGTAAAAAGTTTGAGCATTGTGGATTAGATCAAATAAAGTATAATTATATTTCAATAGTTTACACACAATGATAAGTTTTGTTATTGGTATTATTTCGAGCAAAATTACCAATAACAAAACTTATCATTGTGTGTAAACTATGGAAATATAATTATACTTTATTTAGTCTACTTTTGTTAAAAATATATGTGTATATGCAGTATACAATGGTGTGTCTATGTGTGTGTGGGTGAACACTCATAAAACATTTGTTAGCCCCTCTATAAGAAGACGTAGACAATCGGGAATTTTGACCAAGTATGATTAATTGTGGACACATCCATTTTTATCAATTAATTAGGATTTGCCATGCATTAGCTAACATCACACCTTCATGTCTGTTCAAAGTGTTGGGATTCATCCATATATGTAGGGCTTCTGCAGTCAGTCTTTCTTTATACGAACCAAAACCTTTCTGTAGAACCTTAGTTTTATCAAAGTCGATTTTGTGTCCCGTTTCTATCGAATGCAGTGCAATCGCTGAGTTGTTTTCTAGCTTCTTCAAGTCTGCAGAAGTCTTTGGAAGCACCTTTAGACATTGTTTATGCTCTTTCACTCTTATATTTACCTGTCTGGAATTTTCCCCAACATATACAGCGTTACAGTCCCCACAATTGATCTGGTATACACAATTCTGCTGGTTTTCTTGTTCTATTTTATCCTTAACCTTCACCAGTGATGAGCGTAAGGTGTTAGTTGCACGAAAATACACTCTTATGTTATGATCGTTAAGGATTCGCTTTATTTCATCGGATGTTTCTTTGCGGTAAGGAATCACCGCTGTACTAACCCAATTCTTAGCACCAGGTTTCGATTATGTTATTCTTTCTTTCAACACGGAGTTATCCCTGGCTGACAAGAGATCATGTCAAACATATGTAGGAGGAAGAAAACTGCTCATTTCTCATCTGCTGTTTTCTGATTTATTGGAAAAGATACTCGATGTATACACACAGTGGTTCAAGTGATTCTTAATTTGAACACAGGGGCGAAAATATCAGCTATTATGCTACTAATGACACCCGTGGGCCCGTGCAAACTCTGTCTGCATTTACTCCAGTCAGCAGCTTTAAAAGCTTCCTAGGGATGGATGTCTTTGAATGTAGCACTGTATCACACATATTTGAACGCCTGACAGCACATCAGTTCCTTTTCGAAGAGTACAAATAAACACGTTACGTAGGACTAGAGATTCCCACCGACTGCCTCCAACAACCACTCATCTATCAAATGTGTGTGTGTGTTATGCCAAAACCTAATCAGTTTGTCATCATTCGTTAACAGAACTGTTGGAAATGATTGATTAATTAATGAGTGTACACCTCACTATTTTAATTTCCACGAATATAAATATCACTGGGTGATATAAATTGAATGTCTAAAGAATTTAAGTAATCAGCAAGAATACTTCAACCTTAGACAACAATCAGAACGTCTGTGTGATAATTAGATACGTGGTGCACCCTAGTGCATAGTGGTTTGTAAATCAAAATGCTAGTGATGTAACGGGTAGTAATTTTAGTTGAAACACTAAATTTAGTGAACATAAGACATGACATTTCAACCCAAATATAGAATAATTATGTTTTCAAGGCGATATACAACCGTTCTTGATATATACCTTGGACACTGTGGTAGAGTATAACTCCATTATGGATAAGATTTTATTTTGATGAATCACACAGTGTTGTACAGTAATGTTTACTGATGACCACCTTTAGAGCACAAATTACTGTCACTCATAACCATCATTTCACGTCACTCACACAACTTTTTACTTCATTTATATGCATGAGTAAAAATTGATGATTAGACATTTGAATAAAATCAATATAAGATAATGTACATTAAGATATAATATTAGTGTTATCAATAAAATCAAATCAGATGAGAAATAAGATGTTTTTTGCTGTAAAAATAGGTAACTTGTTAGAATGTTATATTATGAATTGAATACATACAGTTTAACATTATTTATTATCCTCCTCTGATTTGACTGGTGGTAACAATATCTTCCATGTCTCTGGTATTTGCGTTGTGTCACTTCTATTGCATGTGTTGGATGTTGGATGAACCAGGCAGGATTCAGTAATCAACCTGTCTCTATCTCCACCTACCTTTATTACTTCTTAGAATTTTAACTCTGCCCACCACCCTATTGTGTGGTAAACTGCACACGCACTAGCGTTTATAAAAAGCCAACCCATTCTGCTAATAGACATTTAGACTTTATTCATCTCATCCGTTATCCGTCTGTGAAGGCTGGCTTAGTTAAGTGTTTAACAAACCGAGCAATGGCACTAAGTAGCACAAGAAAAGACCTAAATGATGAAATAAAACAGATTGAAGAATAGCTGGTTGGTGTTGACTAACTTTTCTATAAAATTGATTAGAAATATCAAAAAGGACGAAAGTAAAATAAAAATAATGGGGAAACTAATAATGATAACATAAATAAGAGAGAATATGAGTCATCTACAGTAGTTTTACCATAGGAGGAAGGGACATCTGAGGCCATACGTAGGATTCTTTATAAAGTAGGGATTAGGGTGGCGTTCAAACCTACCAACTAACTCATGTCGGACAAGGTCTGTAGGTTAAAGGACCCTGTCGGTTGATCCAATTAGACAAAATAGTATAATTTACAATGACTGTGAGTTGAATCAACTTCATAGGTCAATCAGACGAGTAGATCAGGAGTAGTGAGATTATCAGAAGATAAGAATTTAGCCAAGATTAGAACGATTGATCCCACCGGCGAAGATAACTCATTTAGAGAAAAACTCAGTAACTGTATTGCATGTATTAACACACAACCACACAATAAGTGCGGGACAGAGTCTAAATTTTAAAAAGTAATATAGGTAGGTGGAGAGAGTTGAGAGAGATTGATTGCTGAATCCTGTCTGGTTCATCCAGTCTACACCAAACACAACACATGTAACAGAAATGATTCAATGCAAATACCAGAGATATGGAAGATAATATAATAGGTTAATTTATTCTGCCGTAATCAAACTGCCTCATCATTTTCATCTCAGCAGCATAAATCCTTCACATCTAATCCTGTAAAACATGACTAGCGAAGTCTTAGCTTACTCACTGGCAAGAAGTATCTACTGGAAAACATCACTCAAGATTTAACTTCATCATGAGTCTCACTGCAAACTCCATAAGAAAGAGTTCATTTTTCCTATCTTGAAGTTTTGAACTAGATAAATTTAATTCTTAAGAAATATCAGATGATTTTGTCAAGTCATTTTGAAACTTTCCGGAAATTTTCTATGGACTTATCATCTCCTGGTTATGTTGACATCAGTTTTAGGTGGTGAAACATGAAAAAATTCCATGCTGACCAAGAACTTTAGACTGTTGATGCAGTAAGCATAATTTTGCTAAAGAATCTCATGTACTCTAGGTGACACTCAGTAACAACCACGGAGAAATAATGTTTAACAGAACTCCATTTTTATTCCTTTCCTTTGATCCATATGACGACACTTTGGTACTTCATTAAGTGATATGTTGAACGAAGAACAAAATGTTTCCAGTTCCATTGTGGTTACACTAATCTGTCATAGAAATCAGGACGAAGTTCAACAATAGCGTCCCAGGAGTGCGAACGCCCCCAATGACCTTGAACGCATGCTAGTCATTGGCTAACGGCATCTGACATTATCATAACTAAAATATCAACGCAATTCATAGCTCGATAGGTTTAGGATTAGGGTTGTAATTAGGATTAGTGTTAAGTCTAGGGTTAGGGTTACGATTAGGGATAGATTTAGAGTTGATGTCATTCATTTTTATTTGTTTTATTATCCACTTTTTCCTGGTAAGTAATCGTCGATCCTCTTACTGCAAAATCAAAGTAATTCACCTGAGGACTGCACATGAGGATAAGAGAGATGAACGATTCACAAAAACAGCTCATCTTCAGTCAATTCGATGAATACATGTACAGAAACTTGTCTAACTTAGCAACTGATACCCCTCCTTATAACTAGGAGATATTTTTAAGTCATGTCAGAGAACGATAACCTGTTTAATGTGCTTTTATGCATTTTCTTGTGAATATTTGTCAATTTTTGTGCAAAAATTCTTCATTTTTAGGATTAGTCGTCTCAAGGTTACTCTTATATTTGCATCCTTAGGACGCAATAGTTGGACTTTGCCAAAATCAGATCCATCACCATTTCAGTGCATGTTTTATTTCAACTTGAGTAAACAACACAACCTGTGATCTATACTTTACTGAAACAGTTATATTTACAAAATAACCATTCTGAAATAAAGCCAAAATATTCATTCAAACATCTATAAAACACAAAACAATTGAGCAAGGAATATCCTTTTCGATAATTTCCTCCTCTTCTAGCTCTACAATGATATATGCATGTTTATATACATAGAATATTCTAGAATAGTAGTCAATAACCATATGATTGTTTTTTGAATAATATCGTTTTGTAAAATGAGATCAATGGAATTACAGTTCACTAAAGATACTTAGATTATAATAGTAATAAAGATATAATAGCAAATGGAATATAAACTAAAATTAAGGAAGTTTCTACAAAATGTTGAGGATCATTCAAACCTAGATCGTCAAAGTAAGGACAATGTCTGAGCTAGCTTCTTTTGGACACACAAATTAAGCTTCTTAATGTGGATCTAAACAGCCTTAGCAATATTTAGTAAACGAACTCTTAAGGCGAAGTTAAGATTTGTTGGTATGCGGTAAATGACTTTGAAAGCTGCCTCGTTGACATCAATCTTGTGTTCTGTATCCACAAGATGAGATAGAATAGTGCTGTGAATAGATTTTGTTTGTCCTTTAATTAACCACTGTGCAGGTTTATGTTCAGAAATCTGAGAAGAAAATCCAAAATATACAACATTCTTGATAGAATAGAATTTAAACCATTTTTATAGTTTAAGCTTATCCATACTGGTATACGATTACCATATGGTATTCCTGAATTCCTCTCCGTACAGAGCTTCTCTTTGCAATCCCAACTATAGGCTAATTTTCAAAGTTCATACAATTTTGAAACGAAACCATTTTTCACATAGAAGTCTCAGTTATTCTATCTATGAATTTTGACAAACATCATTCATTTTACCCTCTCACTCTTTATTTAGTGAACAAGTTCAGTCCTTCAACGAGGAGTTGAATTCCCCTGTACCAGAGGTGATCAATCAACAGTCAAGCACCACAAATGAGTACGTCAACTAATTTGATTATTATTTCTTACTTCTGTTATATTTTTAATATATGTAGCCATTAAGTATAAAATTACCTGAATATGCAGTATGTTCATAGTACAATGATTATTTAATGCGCCAAGATAATCAATAATTCATACTTACTATCATTTATCAAAAAGATTGACTATCATTTTCTTTATATCATGTCGTTGGTATTCTCTTTTTATTCCTTTACATTCCCAATGGAACATACGGGGCTTCAGACTAGACCTTTGAAGTTTCAGTAGCAGTGGTGTTTATTTTTACTGGATAGGGTCGCTAGACAGCCTCATGCCCAACCTTCCCTCTTTACCAAACTTACTATTGGCTTAGTGAGGTAAAGGAGTGCGTCGGCCGGGGATTGAACCCAGACTAACTGCGTGGTCGACGAGCACTCTACCGCTGTGCCACCAACGCATGTCGTTGGGATACAAGAAATAATTCCCATCGACGTCTCCTTGGAATCGACTGATTTAAATGAAATGTACATCACTCTCAGATAGGTTGAATGCGTCAAGTGTTTTTATTTCTGCTTTGAAAGAAGTTGGGAGTGAGTATTTATCCCAGAACTGATATCAGTTTTGTTAATTCAGTAATCTGAATTGTTGATTGATGTTCAGGAAAGTACCCAATAAACTTATTCAACTAAAAACTAGAAGTGTTAGACATTTAGGCATTTAACCAGATTCCATATATGCAGAAATTAGAAAAAACAATCAAAAGACTGTAAGTTCAATAAATACAGATACTTAGAAAGGGTCTACTTTGCTGGTGCTTATTCAAAATGGTTTCCTTTGAAACTATTTTGCACGTTTTATGTAGATGGGTGAATCATACTGTTATTATTTGATTATTATTCCCTTGGGTTCCGAGTCGAACACAGGGCTTCAACAATACATCCCCTCTTTCGTCTATTTTCTGCTGTCCTCTTCAGCTGGCTAACCACGCGATTGGCCATAATCTCCCATCTCCTCCCCTCCCACCAAACTACCTCCTCCATGTCACCCTCACACCGACGACACATCGTCGATTTCCTGTTCGGATTCGACTCAAGCGATGGCCTGCACTGCGCACGATATCATTCGATGGCCTCCTTAGTGTGTTCTCTATCTATCTCCATTTCCTCCTACATATTTGTTGAGCAATCTGCTTTCGGTTGATTTGTTCCACTGCAGTGTTTCTTGTTGCTAATTCTTTCTCACCGGCTCCCTGGCCATTTGATCTTCACTATGGAGCCAGCTAACGAAGTGGGCAGCTGTTGACAAAAGTCTGTAGCAGCTTGTTGGAAATCCCTTTTGTGAAACGCTGGTCAAGTTTTTGACTGACCTACTGACTTAGATTGGTGTTGAAAATCCTATTCTTCTTTTTATGGTGAGGTGGAGCACAGGAGATTTCCAAACTGGTTTCAGGTTGATGAAGGCATATCTTGTCTTACCGATTCTTGTTTGCCTTTGACACCTTCATGTGTGCCACCGCTTGTAGTTGAAACCGTGCTTCCTAGACAAGTTCAGGAAGTAACCTCCGTCAAATCTCTCCCGTTGATGGTGATTGGTGCTGGTTGTTTTTGATGTTGGTTGTTTGGTTATCTTCCTCAACCCTGTCTTCTCTATGTTCACAGTCAGTCCTGTCTTCGCCGCTGGCCTGTTCAGTCAGTTTGTTGGTTTTCGCCTGTCAGTCTTCGAATTTGTGTAACATTAGACATAAATCATCCACGCACGAAAAGTAGATCTTATAGAGTCTTCTGATTGGTTCAACCTATTTCCGTCTCCTCACTCCCCAAAATATGACGCATAATCCAGTCCATTAGAATTAAGAATACAGACCAAAGAACAGCTTTACACTACTGCAGGCCTGATCATAAGATCATGACTATGGATAAATCTGTGTTTTGAAACATTTCACGGATGGATCTGCTACGAATTGAAATCAAGTGGAAAATTACTCAAATTCAACGAATAATAAATAGCTGCACCACACTAATTTCCCACTCTTGAGTAGTTCACTTATTTTGTCACATTCAGCATCGAATTCAGGAAAAACAAGTATCAGTTATCTCGGAATATCGTCACCTATGTTACTAGTTAAATCCTAACAAAGTAAATTCAGCTGTCATAGGTTTATAAGAGATCGTAGATTGTCGACGCATCAGGTACCACAGGGAATGTAAATGTGATAGAAAATTGCATTTCCAATGTATATTTAAATACAGGCAATCGATGTAAAATAAATTCATTTAAATGGACTACATAAAAGTGGTTATTATCATTTATGACAGAAGACAAATCACTTCTATTCATGGTTAAAAGTGATTCGATGGAAGTCAACTGACTATTCGTAAAATATTTGACTGGACGCATTTCGTTTGTTAGTAAACACCTGAATCTCTGAACTTTATCTGCGTCACATAAAATGATGAGGTTTACAACACTGAATAATACTTCAACGTTAAGTATATCGAGTTATTCCTTCGGTAGAAAGTTCAACTTGAAATCATAGGCAGGAAGTACACGTAGACTTGAAATATTTTAAATTCCCTCAGAGGTTAACTAACTGACTAATCTACTGACTTCTCGTATGCGTCGGTGACACAGCGGTAGAATGCTTGCCAACCACGCCTCATGTGGTTCTCGGTCCGTTCGTCGGCCACTTGACGCACTCATTTACCTCATGGTAAAAAGGGAAGTTTGGGAAGGAGGCTGGCTTGCAACACCATCCCGTAAAAGTAAACACCACTGTTACCGAAACTTCAAGCCTCTAACTTGAAGCCCCCCAATGTTTCACTCGGAAAGTAAAGGAGTAAAAAACCTCACTTATGTAAGAAAATATAATCGGCAAGTAAATAACTGTATTAGGATTCAAGAATAAGAAAAAGCGGATCACTTGCTGTCAAACTGTTCAAAGTTCTCCATTTAAACGTCTGCCGGACAAACTCAAAACCTAAAACGAGGTGCAATACTTACTCACCAATGTTCTCTTCACTTTGAATGTAAGCTAAACTGTTGTTATTTGTATTGCCAAGACAATGAATACTACTTGTTCCATTTCATGCCTTGTAGAGAAGAAGAAAAACACCATTCCACACTTTCGGATTTGACGACTGCAACAACATCAGAAGTCAGTGAACATACACAACAGACTATCGAGTAAGTGATGTTGATTTCGCTAAGCATTTAACAAGCACAATGTTCAAAGCTACTCACTATCCTTGACCAAATTTCATTGATTCAATCAGTCACATAGTCTCGCTTCAGTCCTAACTAGTCTGCATTTTATTACTCATTTCACAAATCACACTTATCAGCTGGAATTATTCTTCTCTCTAGGTCTGTGTAGGAGGAAGAATCGACGATGTTCCCATCGTCATATTCAGTAAAAGTTGACGAACAATGCGTATTTATGCGTATTTGTCTTTCCTGTTTTATGATTCAGTTGGTGAGCAGTTTTATTTAAATGTTGAGTGTCAAAAAAACCCACGATATCAATATCATAGATCGATTCCGTGAATTTGAAATTTGTCCTGCTTAACTCGATCCTTGGCCGACATTCTCCTTTGCCTCGCTTACCCGACAGTTAGCCTTATAAAGGGGGAAAGTTAGGCATAAGGCTAACAATCCCATCCAGTGGAAAAAGCACCACTGCTACTGAAACTTCAAGGTTCTAGGTTTAAGCCATATGTTCCATTGAGACAGTAAAGGAGTAAAAACCTCACTTATGTAGGAAAATCTAATTGGAAAGTGAAAAACTGTATTAGGATTCAAGAATAAGAAAAAAGCGGATCACTTGCTGTCAAACTGTTCAAAGTTCTCCATTTAAACTTGTGCTGAACAAACTCAAAACCGAAACCAAGGTGCAATACTTACTCCCCAATGTTCTCTTCACCTTGAATGTAAGCTAAACTGTTGTTAAGATATCGTTGATTTTTTTTATATGTATTACCAAGACAATGAATATTACTATTTTCATTACATGCCTTTAGAGAGGAGGAAGAAGCGAAAAAAGAGTCCACACTTTCGGATTTGACGACTGCAACACCACTAGAGGTCAACGAATATACACAGCAGTCTATCGAGTAAGTGATGTTGATTTGGTGAAATTAGCTTTTGGTGCAAAAGTTTTTCTCATTTTGGTAGTAAAACAAATATTCTCAGATTTATCCAGTTTGATTAAAAGTTTACCTAGGAGTGTAAGATAAGTGAGTAATTTCAAAAATGATAATTATTGATTTGATCTTCTCTAAATTTTCATTTTCTGATGTAAGGACAACTGAAGAACCTTCTAGTGTTCAAGAAGCATCAAATGCCAACGTGCCTGAAGATCCCAATTCACCAACGCTTGGGTAAGACAATTTTTATCGAATTTTTATGTTTTGGTAAAGTCGGGTTATGGGGATATTAGAAAGTGACAGTGACCCCATCTAAGAATCAAACTATGTTCATCTGTGTTGTGTTCTAATGACTGAGTTTCAGGCCTGTAATGCTGAATCTGTTTCCCATAGTCTCATCAATATTATGCGATATATATATGTATATACATATATATACTCCAGTCACTATTATTGGATTCGGATAGGAAATTCGATAACAGCTGTTCGCCTCTTCAAATTAAATCTTTGTCAAGTTATATAACCTAAGACTGCTTCAGATAATTTCGAGCCTCGATGGATATATACTGCTGAAGAGTCCCCAACTGGGACAAAACGGCAGTCCAGTACTCCACTGCCGGCCTTCCAATGGTTTTTTAACTGATTTCAGCTCATGATGAAATCCTCCAAATAATCTCGATAAATTTATTTCTGTCTCTTACTGTAACGACTGAAGACAAGGGACAGGTAACGGATCGTTTGTTGAGAAAATCAAGAGATATTTATAGATTTTTATGGGCATTACTATTAAAGTTATTGTTAACGGGAAGCAACCTCCTCTGATTGGTTGTTTTCCTGCTGAAGGTTATTCTGTCATCTCTTTATGGCCGTTTATTAGACAGTCCAGCAATATATCTGCAAATCGTATTTGCACACTCTAAGTTTGATGTGATTGGTTGGTGAGTACATGAGGGTTGGGCTTTGTTATTGTTTTTTCCCTTATGGCCCCGATTCCTGAAGTAAACATTGATGTAAATTGTCGTCTACAATTTTGTCATGCAGACAGCTCTCACAACATTACTAACACAAGTCAGTCTCTCTTATTGGTTTGGGCATACAAATGTAAACCATCGACACACATACTTAGGATTACTAACCAACTTTAGTGATACGGCGATTCAGTCTCGAGAGCGCTTTCATCCTCACTTATTGATCCTAAATTACAGTAGTGAAACATAAATTAAGAGAATAAACACTCTTTTCATAAGCATATTCATCTCCTGAGGCTATAAATTAATGTAGAATCGCTATCAGAAATCATATCAGAACGATCACCATTCGCTTTAGAAAGAGGCGTTCTGACTCCAAACACTGGATTAAACCATCACGAAAAATAATGGACATTTGTTTCAAGGCTAGTATGCTGACGCATAAACTCCAACAGTCTGGCCATCATAACGTCAAGGTGTAGGATCATATCACACTTCAGTCACTTGTAGAATTTTGGTGGTATTAGTGGTGTTATTCACGGAATCAACTAAGACTTCATTACATCTACAGAGTAAGCGAGAGTCTGATGAAGGGTGTATTTAACTCCATTATGAATTAGATTTTATTTTGATAAATCACACAGTGTTGTATAGTAATATTAACTGATGAATTTTCGATTAGCAACTACTGCTCATAATCATATCAAGTTACTCAAACAACCTTTTCCTTCATTTATATACAAGTGTGGAATCGAATACATATGGGAATAAAAATCAATATGAGATAATGTACATTCAGAAATAATAATACGTGTGTTATTGATCAATATCAATATGGGTGTAAATACACAACATCACTGAAACAAAGAACCTTGCCTAGATTATTAGCTCACTAGTTTTCCAGTCGGTCCCAAGCCCCGATAAGGGAGGAGGGTTCGGGCGTAGTGGTAGCAAATTGCTACAGAAACTTCAACGCATATATATATATATTAAAAATACTAAAAATATAAACAATTACCTTATTTTTCGCTGGAATCGGGGAAGTGAAATGACGCAGGCTGGTGAAAGCCTTCGAGAAGCCAGTCAGCCGATGTGCCTCCTTTCGATGAAAGCAAAAATAAGGATGGGGACGTGGATTGTTCGTACAATGTACGAAGCTGGAAAGGCTGCCCAGGTAGCCGCAGAAATAAGAAGATATGGAATAGAAGTGTCGCGAATCTGGGAGAGCAGATGGAACGGATATGGAAGGTGCCAACTATCAACTAGAGAGACAGTGATCTATTTCGTTCACCCAGAGGACAACTACGAGCACACCGAGGGAGTGGCCATTATGATGTCACCAACAGCAGCCAAAGCTCTCATCTCGCGTGAACCAATCTCCCCCAGGATACTGACAGCTAGGTTCAACTCAAAAGGAAGGAAGATTACAATCATGCCATGCTATGCGCCTATAAACGTCTCAGAACAAGAGAAGAAGGAGGATTTCTACAGACAACTACAAGCAGTAATGGACAACATCCCAAATGGCAATATCAGAATCCTGATGGGTGATATGAATGCGAAACTGGGAGGAGACAATACAGGAAGAGAACTCACCGTGGGTCGTGAGGCCCTCGGTGAAATGAACGAAAATGGTGAACTCTTCTCAGACTTCTGCACCTTCAATGATTTGGTGATTGGTGGCAGTGTGTTCAAACACAAGGATATACACAAGGCAACATGGATTTCACCAGATGGACACACCAAAAACCAGATAGACTTCATTTCAATCTCAAGGAAGTGTAGACAGAGCCTGCTGGACACAAGGTCGAGGAGAGGAGCAGATGTGGTTTCAGACCATTATCTAGTACAAGGGAGTTTCAAGGGGAAGCTAAAAGCCTCTAGGATAGCGAGGGATAGGCAACAATGCAAGTTCAACACTCAAAAACTGAAGGACACAATCACAAAGGACACTTTCACTGCAACTGTCAGAGCAAAGCAGGAAACACTACGTGGCACCACTGAGGAATCATCCGTGGAAGACCATTGGAACTCTCTGAAGGTAATTTTCAACGAAACGTGTTCAACGGTTTTAGGAAGAAAGAAGAAACAAGACAAGGAATGGCTCTCAACGGACACTTGGAAGCTAATAGAGGAGAGGAGAATGGTGAAAGAGAAAATGATTCAATGCAAAGACGGACAAGAGAAAGAGACGCTGAGTTCAACTTACACAGCACTGGACAAAGAAGTGAAGAAGAGTGCCAGGAAGGACAAAAGACAATTCTACGACAACCTGGCTACTGAAGCTGAGAAGGCAGCAGGCAAAAGGGACCTGAGGACACTATATCAGATAACCAAGTCTCTATCCGGGAAGAGATCAACACAAGTGAAACCTATAAAAGACAGCCAAGGGAACCCAATTACCAAAGAAGAAGGACAGATTAAACAATGGGCGGATCACTTCAAAAGACTCTTGAACCGACCACCACCTGCAAACCGTCCAGAAATACCAACAACAGCACGTACACAACTGCGAGTTGACACCAATCCTCCAACGAAAGCTGAAGTCTTGAATGCAATCAAGCTTCTGAAAGCTGGAAAAGCAGCTGGACCAGATGGAATACCCCCGGAAGCACTGAAAGCGGACCCAGAAACGACAGCAGATATGCTGACTCCATTATTGCAAAAAGTCTGGAAGGAGGGAAAGGTGCCTACTGACTGGAGGAAAGGTTACCTCGTGAAACTACCAAAGAAGGGCGACCTAGGACTCTGCAAGAACTGGCGAGGAATCATGCTCCTGTCGACGCCAAGTAAAATTTTGAGTCGCATCATCCTGGAGAGAATAAAGGACACACTGGATACAGAAGTCCGACCAGAATAAGGAGGATTCAGGAAAGGCAAATCATGTTCTGACCAAATTGCAACTCTACGCATCATCATCGAACAAAGCATGGAATGGCAATCAAACCTCTACCTCAACTTTATAGACTTTGAGAAGGCCTTCGACAGCGGTGACCGTGAAGTAATTTGAAAACTACTCAAGTACTACGGCATGCCCCAAATATTCCTCAACCTTATTCAACAGCTGTACGACAATGGCACATGTCAAGTGATCCACAACGGAAAACTCAGCGAGGCGTTTGGAGTCAACACAGGAGTCAGACAAGGGTGCTTATTATCACCAATGATATTCCTAATTGTGGTGGACTGGATTATGCGTCAGACAGTGGGAAACGAGAAGACAGGGATATCCTGGACCGACGTGAAGAACCTAGAAGACCTGGATTTCGCGCGTGGATGATTTATGTTTGATGTCACACAAAATCGAAGACTTACAAGCGAAAACCGACAAACTGGTTGAAGAAGCATCAAAGACAGGACTCCAGGTGAACATAAACAAGACGGAGGTTATGAAAATAACCAACCAACAACAACAACAACAGCAGCAACATCCAGCGCCAATCACCATCAACGGGAGGGATTTGAAAGAGGTTACTTCATTCACTTATCTAGGGAGCATTGTCTCAACTACAGGAGGAACGGACGAGGATGTCAAATCGAGCGAGAATCGGGAAGGCGAGAAACACATTCATCAACCTGAAACCAATCTGGAAATCTTCGTCACTCAACTCAGCATCAACAACAAAATTCGGATTTTCAATACAAACGTCAAGTCAGTTTTGCTATACGGATCAGAAACTTGGCGGGTCACAAAGAATATTTCCAACAGCCTGTTGCAGACCTTTATCAACAACTGTCTTCGCTGTCTCTATACTGAAGATCAGATGGCCGGAAAGAATCACCAACAAGAAACTATGGGAAAACAAACAAAACAAGAACCAATCGCTCAACAAATATGCAGGAGAAAGTGGAGATGGATTGGACACTCGCTGAGGAGGCCGTTGGGTGACATCGCGCGTCAGGCCAGTGCTCGAGTGGAACCCGAAAGGGAAGCGGCGAGTGGGTCGTCGTCAAGGGTGACATGGAGGAGATCGTGTGAAGAGGATTTGAAAAAGTATGGACTAACATGGATGCAGGTGAAAAGCACAGCAGAAGACAGAGGCAAGTGAAGACGTGCAGTTGAAGCCCTATGTTCCACTAGGAACCCAAGGAAACAATAAATAATAACTGGAACAAAGGCGTCACAATAATTTATAATCAAATGCCTGAATTAAGTGTACAGAATGTTTGTCAAGTCACTAGACCCATAGAGACGTTAAAGTGAAAGAAAAATCCACATTGTATGTCCAAAAGGTTTTTCTTCATCCTGTTACTGCTCTGTCCTCCTTCTCTTCGCACGACCTCCCGTTTTAGATTAAAATGTTAACTTTTTATGGTTCAAAGTCACTCAGTATACTTGACCAAATTTCATTGTTTCACTCAGTAACATAGTCTCGCTTTACTCCCAACTAGTCTGCATTTGATTACTCATTTCACAAATCACACTTATCAGCTGGGATTATCTTTCTCTCTGGTTCTGTGTAAGAGGAAGTGTCGACGATGTTGCCATCGTCATATTAAGGAAAAGTTGAGGAACAATGAGTATTTATGCGTATTCGTCTTTTCTGTTTTCTGATGCAGCGTCAATAAAACCTGTGCTATGAATATCATCGTTCGATTCTGTGAATATCAAATTCATCCTGCTTAACTCGGTCCTTGGCCGACATTCTCCTTTATCTCGCTTACCCGACAGTTAGACCTCTAAAGAGGGAAAGTTAGTTATGAGGCTAACGACATCATCCCGTGAAAATAGCACCACTTCTACTGAAAATTCCAGTTTCTAGCTTGAAGCCATATATTCCACTAAGATCACAAAGGATTACAACAAATTTGAACACAAACTTGATTTCTCTTAGGATATCGTTGAAGTTTTCTCATTCATTTTGTCAAGTCTAAGTCTAATTCACTTTGAATTACATCCTTAGAGGGGAAGAAACAAAAGAAGCAAAGGAAGAAGAAGATTCTACACATCAGGAATTGGCGACTGCAACACCACCAAAGGTCAACGAATATCCACCGCAGCATATCGAGTAAGTGATGTTGATTTGGTTAAGCAACTTACTGGTGACGTAAGCTTCTATTAAGCGCACGTTTTCTTAGTAAAACCAATATTTCCATATACATTCAGTTTGAATAAAAGTTCACCTAGTTGTGTAAGAGAAATGAACCATTATGAAGATGATAATTATTGATTTGATCTTCTCTAAATTTTCATTTTCTGATGTAAGGGTAACTGAAGTCTCCTCCGATGTTCAAGAAGCATCAGATGCCAACTTATCTGAAGATTCCAATTCATCAACGCTTGGGTAAGATATTAATTTTATCGAATTTTTAAGTTTTGTTAAGTCTGGTTACGGGGACATTTGAAAGTGGAAATGACTCACTCTAAGAATCAAGCCATCTGCATGTGCTTTGTTTAATGATGACTGAGCTTCAGGCCTGTAATGCTGAATCTGCTTCACATAATCTAATCAATATTATACGAGTGCGTTATATATATAAATATATATATTCCAGTCACTATGAATGCATTCGGATAGGAAATTTGATAACAGTTGTTCGTCTCTTAAAATTAAGTGTTTATGAAGTCATATATCACTATCAATCTGCCAACCTAAGACTGTTTCAGATAATCTCGCTCCATGGTGGTTACGTATTGATGAATAGTCCTGAACTAGGACGAAACCGCTGTCAGGGACTCCAGTGTCGGTTTTCCAATAGTTTTCTAACTGATGTCTGCTCATGATGAAATCCTCTAACCAATCAAATAAGTCCCTACAAAAACCAATACTTGAAAAAAACTGAACTGATGCTGACTAGCTGTTGAACCTAATTCAGTTGGGATTCTTGTGGGAAGTCGTGATCAGTAGGGTACAGCAAGTTGAAAATGAGGCAGTAACGCATTGAAGAAGACGTTACGAAGTGGTCCCCCTTTGTCGCGAATCGCACGAAGTTGTAATTCTTGGACTGGCTGGGCAGTGGATTGGTTCCCATTTGCTGAATGATCTACTAATCAGCTCGCCTAGTAGCGAGAAGTTACTGGGTTTGAACCTCCAGTTGTGGGTGCGTACTGATGAAGACTCCCAAACTAGGACGTAACAGTTGGCTGTAGAGTACTCCACAGCAGGTTTTCCAATGGATGATGAAATTTGCCAACTGATCTCGATAAAATTATTTCTATCTCTTACTAACGCAAGTCAGTCTCTCTTATAGGTTTGGGCATTGCATACCACGTTTGATGATACAGTGATTCAGTCTCGAGAGCGCTTTCATCCTCACTTATTGATCCGAAATTACAGTAGCGAAAACAGCACCACTGATACTGAAACTTCAAGCTCCTAGGTTGAAGCCATATATTCCGCTAAGATCGAAAAGGAATACAACAAATTTGAACACAAACTTGATTTCTCTTAGGATATCGTTGAAGTTTTCTCATTCATTTTGTCAAGTCTAAGTCTAATTCACTTTGAATTACATCCTTAGAGGGGAAGAAACAAAAGAAGCAAAGGAAGAAGAAGATTCTACACATCAGGAATTGGCGTCTGCAACACCACCAGAGGTGAACGAGTATCCACCGCAGCACATCGAGTAAGTGATGTTGATACAGTTAAGTAATTATCAGTTGTACTGATTTGCTTCATTCTAAAACAACACTCATGATTCACTGTGGAATTGTCAGCATTTTGTACAATATTTCACCTTATTCACTCGATAACAGCTAAAACGAATATAAAAAATTTACTACAGGATTGATATTGACATTTTTTCTTGGAACTTGCGGTGACATTAAATTCATAAATTTCCAAATAGTAAAAATCAGTGATAGTAATGTTAATAGCTTAAATTATAATTTAATTACAATAATATCACCACAGAAAACAGGTTTATGTATCTATTTTATTGCTTTACATTCCCAGTGGAATATAGGGTGCTTCAAGCTATAGGCTTGAAATTTCGGTAGCAGTGGTGTTTATTCTACAGGATGGAATTGCTATGCAGCCCCATGTTCAACCTTCCCTCCTCACCAGTCTTATTACTGACTTAGCGACGTCTGGGAGTTCGTCTGTGGCCGGTGATCGAACTGAGAACCACATGAGGCGTGGTTGGTGAGCATTCTACCGCTGTGCCACTGACGCACTTTGGATTACAAATAGACTAGAATGAAATAGCCGATTATCCTGCTGATAGCATAGTGAGCCACAAGGTTCGTGCTTAACGCTATCTCTATCATATAGGACGTGGGCTTCATAGAGTGTCGCTGAGTTTTTCTACTTGGTTGTGTGAGCTTATAATCTCTTTTAATGACTTCTGGTCCTGCCTAATACTATGGTAAAAGCTGTCTATTAACCAAATTGGTAGACAGTAATTTACGTCAATGTTTACGTTCTCAAGATTTGTCGTGAGAAAATATGAATAAAGACTGATTCAAAACCGACCACAGCAGACTTTGCGTAGGCGGATACAGTTAACATATAGATGATCTGACATTGAAGAAATTGTCACAAATAGATGAAAGATTAACTTTACGTGAGAAACAACCGATCAGAAGACTGTGTTTGTTTGCTTAACTAATCTATAATAATGTACATGAAAATATATAAATATGCTTTGATTTCCCTAATAAACGATCTGTTGCCTGGCCCTTGTCTTGTTACAATACAATCCAAAAGGCAAGCTGAGAATAAAAGGGTGTGTTGAGAACCAGAAAATGTGGATTTTGACCATTTCTCACATGAGTTCAGGTGTCCATCAACTTCTGCAATAACAAGCTGACACACCACATCCCCTACTGACAACCTTTCATACCATGGGTGCAATCAAGTGGGGAAATTTGTGTTTATTTAGTACAGGTTTTGGTACAAGTAATTCTCTTTTCATATACAGAACAACATGTGTTTTAATTTATAAATGTTGTTAACATTTAACGACAGAACATAAGGGTCAGGCAACAGATCGTTTATTGAGAAAATCAACAGATAGGTTCATAGATTTTTATGTACATTATTATTCGTTATTATTAGCAGAGAAACAGAGTCTTCTGATTGGTTGTTTTCTCGCTGAAAGTTAATCTGTCATCTCTTTGTGGCCATTTCTTTGAAGGTCAGACCATATATCTGCGAATCGTATCCGCCCAAGCAAAGTCTGCTGTGATTGGTTGTTGAATTAGTCTTTGTTCTTGTTCTTTTTTCATGACGCTGATTTGGGACGTAAACACTGACGTAAATTGGTGTCTACCAATTTCGGCTAGCAGACAGCTCTCACCACAAACACGGTGAAGTTTGCAAGGAACTGAGTGATACCTGAGTGATAGGAAGAAGCAGAACCACTGAACAGCGATATATATATATCCTGCAAATCCTCCTTTCATATTTTCACTGATTCGCAGATAGTAATTTTCGATAGCCTAATGTTATCTGTACCAAATCTGTCAACGACCTCTTTTTGATCGGCTAATGTACTGAAAAGCCGATTAAGTAGGAAGTATCAATAATTCAAAAGTTTATGTCACAAATGAAGTTGCGTCTCTGGAAAAGCCACATTCCAGACTGAGACAGCTGGATTAGGTAAAACCCGACTGTAAAACTTCTCAACAATTTTGTAAATTACAAATTATTCTTAATTTAGCATTTAATAAGTTTGAAGTGAATCATAGCTTTGAGATTGTTAGACTGAATGCTGTAGAGCATAAACTCGTATTTCTTTTGAGTAAACTTAGATCCCGACGCACTCCTTTACCTCGTTAAGCCAGAAATAATGCTGGTAAAGAGGAAAGGTTGGGCATGAGGCTAGCAACCCCATCCTGTAAAATAAACACTGCTACAGAAATTTCAAGCCACTAGCTTGAAGCCCTATGTTCCACTGGGAACGTGAAGGAAAAAATAAAAAAACTTAGATCGCTCTGACCACGCCAAATCAACGGCTGTTCGAGTAGAGGCGACTTCAGTAACAGCCTAGCATTATGCATAATTATTCAATTTAATTGGATGAACGCTGTAAGTCCTCCGCAGCGTCAGTCACAGCGCTCTAGTACTACTAGTATATTAATCTGAGGAGTAGCCTCATTCACAACACACTACAGAACTCAGATGAACAGTAAAACCTGACATCTGATATTCCAGCCACTTCATTTTTTGATTATTGAATGTTATGAAAAGTTCAGAATTGCATAGATTTTGCAAACATTCAGTTTACAGTAATTATATCCTCGAAATACATTTCTTTTGATTTTATGCAAATGCGTATTTTCTTTATCTATCACTTATTTTTTATTTTGGTGTAGACACGATGCTATTTCTAAAGTTCAACTCACTGATGATGACGATAAGGCTCTCATGAATGACGCTACTGTACCACCACACCAAAAAATGAGCAGTCAGAATCATGATGAACCTGTGAGTTACTGCTGAATAGTGAATCTTATATCTTATGTGCTGATACTCCAACCGATATTATTATCATCATCAGATTTCTGTTGGTATATACTACTCTTTTAGCTAACAAAAAGTAATATAAATGTATGTATATTAATTAGTTAAAACTTCAAGTTCCAGACTTTCCTATTGTTGACTGAAGTAGCTTTCAAAATGCTGTCTTTGAGGTGAAGGCATTTCTCAATTTCATCACCAACTCTGTCGATCAGAAGTTTATTCAACTTGCCCACTAAATCTTTATTCAGTCACAATTAACAGGCCACTGAATTGTTTAGTTGTGTGTTCTCTGACCGGCTGGTTGATTTAATCGGTGGAAGCTTTTGTTGTTATTCGTCTAGACGAAATCTTCAGCTCAGGTTTTCGTATGAAATGAAATCTTGACGACCACTGTCGTGATAGGTGATTAAGTCACGTCTCTGTTGATCGTGTGATTTATTTGGCAAATTTTGTCTCTAGTAATATGTTTGTTAATCGTTGGCTGATTCACTTGAGTACCAGCTTTGGCTTCTAGAAATTCCATGGCACTTTTGGTGTTTCCTACATTCAAAATTTCTACGTTATTCCAATTAAATTGATATCCATGATTGCCTCTATGCATCTGTATGAAAGAATGTATATCATGTCTTTTCACAGCTCATTTGTGTTCCTGGATTCTGATTCTAAGGGGACGCCCACTTTGACCGATGAAATGTCTGTTACAGTTCATACAATTTATCTTGTAAATTGTATTAATTTTATCTTCTTCTTTTTCTGTTGGATCTTTCAGTTTGCACAATATCGAATGAAGTGATTGTGCTGACTGGCTGGTTTGTATGCTATGTCTATTTAGAGCAGTCTTAATATTCCAGCTGTTATTTCAAAGGCTTCTTTTGTATATGGTAGAATGAATTTTCTCGTGGTCTTTAACAATGGTTTCTTGACGGTATTGTGACTCAAGTTTAAACACTCTTTGATGAAATTGTGAGTCTACCCATTCCTCTTTTTGAAGACGGTTAGAAGGTATCTTTCTTCCATTCTTTTCAACGCTGGAGTGCTACAGTGTGTTTGAATTCTTTTAAACAATGTCACCATACAGTTTCTATGAATTTAGATAACACCTTTAAACTATGCATGTATGCCATAATATTTTTGAGTCAGTTGAAATGTTCGCCCTACCAACACATAAATGAGTGCATGTTAAGATTTTAATAATTATTGTACAACTTGTATTGTTTGTTGTGAATAGATCTCCTTTCCAAAAATTTTTAATCTTATGTCTATCTTCTCAGAATTACTTGCCTGTAATAAATGATGCTGAAGAGACTGACTACGTGACTCTAGGCGACATGGTTCTCACTCTAGAAGACAAATTAAAACTTAAGATACCATCTGTGAAAACATACAGTAGTATGAATGCGATTTTGGGTGCTGATGGAAGTATTTACATCCCTGGAAGTTACTCACGTACAGTTAAAGAACATGTTGCCAATTTGATGGGGTAAGAGTATATATATATATGTATATATAGTATTTCAATTCTGTGTCTATTTGTGATAAATTTGGCGGAATATTTTTTAAGTATTGATTTTTTGTAGGAATTTTTTCAGTTTAACTGGTTGGAGGATTTCATCATGAGTTGACATCAGTTAGAGAACTATTGGAACAGTAAACAGTAACAGTTCCTGCTTGTCCGAAATTCTTTCCTCTCACATTTGTATCATTTTAAATGCCAGATACCCAAATGGTGAAATCTACGTCTTGTGTGTGTGTGTGACATGTTCTAGTGGCTAGACGTATTTTTTCTGAATTCCTCATTTAAAAAAATACAAACAGAAGGCGTTTCGTTCACGTGTTGTTAATATTGTTCCTCAGTTTCTGCATAAATGTATGCATACTGCATTTAACGTTATAAAACTGTGCTTTGTGGTCAACCATTTGAGTGACTAACGTCTTTCAGCAAATTACAATACTACCAAAATTCTAGTGCGTACGCTTTTCCTTGATATTTCACTGAAACAGGATATTGTGAAAGAAACTCTACTACTTATTTCCACTGAAACACTAATGTTAAAACGTCAAAATGTAATTGTTACCATTATGCATACAGAATGTATACATTTTGATTTCGTAAATAAATGTAAAATCATCGAAAATACCCATTGAGTCATGAAGAAAATAAAAGACAAATTCAGGTCGGGTGTGAGGACAAATACTCGCCACAGATGACATTGGCTAGTGGTCGCGCTATGTTGTGAATTGGCAGAAGTTAGAATTCATGGGCCATTGGATCGGGTCAGGTTTCAGTGGCTTAATGGTCTACGAGCTCGCCTTGTAACCAGAAGGTCCTGGATTCGAACCCTCCGGTGATGGATGCGTACTTGTGAAGAGTCCCAAACTAGGACGAAACAGCTGTCCAGTACTCCCAGGTTTTCCAGTGGTTCTCTAACTAATGTCAGCTCATGATGAAATCCTGTAAAATTTTCTCTATTAACGAAATAATCTTCAGAGGCTGTACTGTATAGTCGTATTTATATTTTTTACCCAAAAATGTATAGTAGTCCATCAGTGAGTAATAGGGGTTGGGGTGACATAATTGATATAATTACTCGGAAGTGACTTTAGAAGTACCACGTAATTTAAAACTTTTATTTTTACTTCTAAAGCCACTTCCGAGTAATTATATAAATTATGTCACCCCCCCCCCTTATTACTCAATGATAGACCACTATACATTTTCGGTAAATATAAATACGACTGACTGTACAGTACAGCCTCTGAAGATGATTTCGTCGATAAAGAAGCATTTTCTTCGCTGAATTTATCTTTTATTTTCTTCATAAATGTAAAATCTTTTGAAAGTGGTTCCAAACCCCTATCTTTATTACCTTCCTACTTTTGGAGAGAACTACTTTATAATTGAATCCATAATTTTCACTATCTGTGGGATTAGATGTTTAGTAATCGGAATCTTAACTGCGTCATAAGGCATCTTCGTATTATAAAAGTCTACAAGTGTGCTTCTAACTATCAGTTGACAAAAAAAACAATAAGTCAGATAAAATTGTTTTTTATAACGCAAACCCAAAGAAACTAAGTCGTTGAGAGGTGAAATTTAAAAATTTAAATGGACAAGAACAGTATCTTAATTATCACACTTTCTGACGTGTTTGGTACAAAAAAGCCTTAGTGAGTAAGGTGCCTCTTCAGTAGAATCCAATGAATATGCACTGAAGACAAATTTGATGAGGAAGAAAGAAAGTTGACACAAACTCTGGTTGATAACAATTATCCAGACAAGTTCATCACGAGCTATGAAGTAGTCAGAACATCAAGACCCACTGTACAACTCTCACCTGAGAAAGACGTATACATCAAGCTACCGTATATGGATGACCATAGCAGCCTGATAACTTGACGAAGATTAAAAAAGGACTTTTTATGCAGCTAATTTCATAATAATTGAGCATAAGAAGCCAATATATCCATCTAAGCCCTTTGAACATGTGAGAAACGATGTCATATCCCACTGTATTTACCCATTTGAATGTACGTGTGGACACACATACATAGGGAGGACTCATCGATCTCTGCAAGTAAGGGTTGGCTTCAGAGCATATTCCTAAATGGCTCCAGAAACAAACAGAATCCTCAGAATTCATTCATTGTGAGAACAGACGACCTAGCTCCTCTATTGTGAGACAGGACATAAAATTGATGTTTACCCGCCTTTTGAACCTATCTATAAAACGTGTTTTGGCTGCATCCTAAATGTTGGGGAAGCCCAAGCAATTAGGAAATTCAAACCACGTTTATGCGATCAAAGCATCAATTCGTCATCACACTAAACCCTTCTTGGGTAAACTTTGTTTTGATAGCAGCCAGGGAAATTGTACTATTACCTCAGTTATTTGGTTAAGTGATCTTCATTGTTATTTTGACCTTCAATGTAGTCCTTTTAACTTTTTTTATTCCTTCACGTTCCCAGTGGAACATAGGGCTTCAAGCTAGAGGCTTGAAGTTTCTGTAGCATTGTTTATTTTTACAGGATAAAGGTGCTAGCCACATGCCCAACCTTTCCTCTTTACCAGCATTATTTGTGGCTCAACGAGGTAAAGCAGTGCGTCTGTGGCCAGGAATCGAACCCCGAACCATGTGCATAGTCGGCCAACGTCCTAACCGCTATACCACCGACGCACATTGAGAAAGAATAGATGTGAAAAACAGGTTTGCTTGACAAAGAATTAATTTTTTTGATTACTAGAAAAACGTATTGTTTTACTTACAAAGATTCTAATTACTGGCATACAACGACGTCTTGCTATAATGAGTGCCCTTTTTATTTGATTTTCAGCCTCGCCTATCTCGTGATGATGAACAACGGTATGTTGATAATTTTTCATCAACAATGTCTCATTGTAATAAATGTGCAAACTTGGTACTTGTAGTAAGTAATTCCATATCAGTTTGTTTATTAGATGTATCACACAGTGAATAAACAGTATTATTATTTACCGGATGACGTTTCGAACAAACTTCAAAAAAAGCGGACGCGCTTTTCGATTACTACGCTACATTTGCTTAGTTACATAAAACACTTGTTTCTTTGGAATTTCTTTCCAAGAAATTGTGGAACTTATTGTAATTATTTGCCTTTCGAACATTCAAACTGTGGATATAATCTTATTGACCGATAACACCTATAACTGTCTGCTTGCCATTTTATGACTGTCTAACACTAACTAATATCTCTAATTGTATATATTGATGGATTTACATGTCCAAGTTGGCTCAAGTCAGTGAGTCTATAATTTTGGTATCATTTTTGTTGTATATATCTGACTGTGATACTACTGTTAAGGTTATTTTTTATTGTTGTTGTCGCTTGTTGCTTTTCCTGTTGTGAATTATTTTCCTTTTGCTGGTGTTGTTCTGATTGCTTCATTCCTTGTTTTCCTGGTTTTAAAGGGAGCAACCCACAAGGTCGCTTCTCTGTAAACTATATTTTAATGTAACACCCCCCTTCTCAGGTGTGAGGCTGGCAACCCCACAGTGTAAACAAAGTTGCTATAGAAACTTCAGCACGTTGAATCTCCTTCCGCCAAAAGAAAAAGTCTCTGTGGGGACATAGAATGTCCGCACCATGTACGAGATTGGCAAAGCTGCCCAGATCGCAAACGAGATGAAAAGATACGGAATTCAAGTACTGGGAATATGTGAAAGCAGATGGAACGGGAATGGACTCACCAAATTGTCAACGGGTGAGTCAGTGATCTACTCCGGTCATTCAGAAGATAACCACATGCACACCGAATGCGTGGCTACCATGATGTCACCAACGGCAACGAAGGCCTTGATGCAATGGGAGGCGATCTCGCTCAGGATAATAACCACCAGATTCAACTCCAAAGGAAGGAAAGGGACAGTTATACAATGCTATGCACCCACAAACAACGCAGACCTCGAAAAGAAAGAAGAATTCTACAGACAACTACAGGCAACAATGGACAATACTCCAGTCGGCGACATTAAAATACTAATAGGAGACATGAACGTCAAACTGGGACCAGACGACACAAGAAGGGAACTCATCATGGGTAGAGGCGCAGCCTACTGTACACAAAAGTAAGAAGAGGAGCAGACGTTGGCTCAGACCACTATCTCGTACAAGGGACAATCCAAATCAAATCAAAAGCTTTCAGAGAAACAGGAGCTGCAGATAGACCACAAGCCAAGTTCAATACTCAAAAGCTGAAGGACCAGGATACAAAAGACATCTTCACTGCAAGCATAAGGGAAAACGCCGAGACACAAATCAACACTAGCGAAGAGACCAGCGTTGAAAAACACTGGAACAGCCTGAAAGCGATGTGAAGTCAAACCTGCATGGAAGTTCTAGGCAGAAAGAAGAGACAGGACAAACAGTGGCTCACTACGGACACATGGAGACTAATGAAAGAGAGAAGGATGGTGAAACAAAAGATTATGCGGTGCATCGACGAGCAACAAAAACAGGACTTGAATGCAAGCTATAATACACTGAACTAAAGAGTAAAGAAGAGTGCCAGGGAAGGTAAAAGAAAGTAAAAGACGGATTCAGCGAAGAAAATTTTCTTTATCGACGAAATCATCTTCAGAGGCTGTACAATCGTATTTATACTTACAAAAATATATAGTGGTCTATTATTGAGTAATAGGGGGTGACATAATTGATATAATTACTCAGAAGTGGCTTTAGAAGTGAAAATTAGAAGTTGAAAATTACGTGGTACTCAACGGCAAAAAGATAGAATTTGATAAGGTTAAAATTGCTATTAAGTGAGAATAAAGGTATTTGAGTGTCAATTTAACAAGTGTGAAGAGGGTGTGAAAATATACAAAAGGAGCATATGAGAGTGATAATAGCGAATTAATTATTGAAGCAAAAGCTAACTAAAAGTGAAAGTAGAATGAAAAGAAAAAATCAAAAAATATTTCATTTACAAGGAACGATTAGTGAAGAGGTTAAGACCAAGGTAGAATAAGAGACTGGACAAACTTTTTCTGTATACAGAGTTCAGGGTTGTATTGATGAATTGCTAGAGCCTCCGCCATACACAAAAGCCGGAACCTGACGCCCTTTGTACCATTTGGCTTCACTTTGTAGATGATCTTGAAAGACGATTCTGGTGGAGCTACGTGGCCTGAGTTCACCAAATGCTCGAGAATTGAGCTAGTAATTGTCTTACATTGTCCCTTTGCTAACCATGCCGGATAATGCTCAGAGATGCGTTTGGAAAGCGTGCGCTTTGTGCGGCCAATATAACTAGCTCCACACGAGCAAGTGAATTTATAAACACACATTGAGGTGGCCCAAAGCGGCAGTTTATCCTTCACACACCCGTTGATCATTTGTCGGCTATAGAAGTTGATACGTAGCTCAGCCATAAAGAAGGCTTTCCTCAGTGATCTGCATAAGTGATTCTTCAGGATCTCAGCTGCGGCATCACCTTTAAATTCAACACTCATAAACAGTAGTTTCTTCGGTACCGTCTGTATTCTTTCAGGTTTTTCCCTTGGCTTCATGTTCTTCTCTTCACACTTGTTAAATTGACACTCAAATACCTTTATTCTCACTTAATAGCAATTTTAACCTTATCAAATTCTATCTTTTTGCCGTTGAGTACCACGTAATTTTCAACTTCTAATTTTCACTTCTAAAGCCACTTCTGAGTAATTATATCAATTATGTCACCCCCTATTACTCAATAATAGACCACTATATATTTTTGTAAGTATAAATACGACTGTACAGCCTCTGAAGATGATTTCGTCGATAAAGAAAATTTTCTTCGCTGAATCCGTCTTTTATTTTCTTCATGGCTCAATGGGTATTTTCGGTAAAAGAAAGTATCATGAAGCTATGGTAAGTGAAGCAGAACAAGCTGCAGTGCAGGCAAAGGAGACCTCGCAACACTCTATCAGACAACTAGGTACCTATCGGGTAAAAGTTTGACACAAATTAAGCCAGTGAAGGATGACAATGAAAAGTCAATCACCAAAGAATTGGAGCAAAGGAAACACTGGGCTGAACACTTCAAAAGACTCCTAAATCGACCACCACCTACAACGCGCCCAACAATACCAACAACGGAGACAGAGCTACCAGTGAACACCAACCCCACGACGAAATCAGAAGTCCTGAAGGCAATCAAGATGCTAAAAGCTGGAAAAGCAGCATGACCAGATGGAATCGCAGCAGAAGCATTGAAAAAGGACCTCGAGACATCAGCCATAGGACTTGACGACACCACCACTGAAGAAGGCGTGGATAGAAGGCAAAGTACCCGAGGATTGGAAGAAAGGACGTTGATTCAAACTACCAAAGAAAGGAGACTTGAGTAAATTCAAGAACTGGCGCAGAATTATGCTCCTGTCCATCCCAAGCAAAATACTAAGCCGCATCATCCTGGAGAGAATCAAACATGCCAACCTGGATGAAAAACTTCGACCGGAACAGGCTGGATTCAGGAGAAACAAGTCATACTCCGATCAAATCGCCACACCACGGATTATTATTGAACGAAGCTTGAAATGGAAGTCACCTCTCTATCTCAACTTCATCGACTTTGAAAGACCTTCGACAGCGTCGATCGAGAGGTGATTTGACAACTACTTAGTTACTACGGGATGCCACCGACAATTATACATCTCATTCAACAGCTATACGACAACGCTGCATGCCAAGTAATCCACAACGGGAAGCCCACGAAATCATTCGAAGTGAGGACAGGAGTAAGACAAGCTGGCTGTCTACTATCACCAATGATTTTCTTGATTGCGGTAGATTGGGTAATGCGACAAACAGCGGGCAATGAAGAAACAGGCATAAAATGGACTCACACAAAACACTTGGAGGATCTGGACTTCACCGATGATGTTATATGTCTGATTTCTCACAAACTGAAAGATATGAAAGTGGAAAGCAACAAGTTGTCAGAAGAAGCTTCAAAGATAGGACTTCAGGTGAACAAAGAGAAAACAGAAGTGATGAAGATTCCTGGCCAACAACAACAACAGCAACAACAGACAATAATCACCAGCATAAATAGAAGGAAGCTGAAAGAAACAACCTCTTTTACCTACCTGGGAAGCATCGTTTCAACTACGGACAGACGGAACTGACGAGGATATCAAAGCAAGAATCGGAAAAGCAAGACAAGCTTTCACTACTCTCAAGTCTGTGTGGAGGTAAACAGCACTCAGCTTGAAAAATAAGAACCAGATTTTCAACTCCAATGTGAAGTCAGTCAGTGCTACTTAACATACGGATCAGAGACTTGCACTGAGCGTCATAAAGAGCATCTCAAACAAACTACAAACCTTCAATAACAGTTGTCTTTGCTCAATACCGCTCAAGATCAGATGGCCGGCCAGAAAAGATCAGCAACAGGGATCTTTGGGAGCGAACCGACCAAGAAACGATTGTGAAACAAGTAGGCAGGAAGAAATGAGGAGATGGATTGGCTGGCCATACTCTGAGGAAACAATTCATCAAGTGACATCACTAGACAAGCCACTGCTCGAGTGGAACCCGAAAGGGAAGGCGGCGAGTTGGTTGTCAGTGTGAGGGTGACTTGGAGGAGGTGATGTGAAGAGGAGATGAAAACATGTTGGCAGACGTGGAGCCAGGTGAATACTCTAGCAGAGAACCGAACTCAATGTAAATGCGCGGCTGAAGCCCTATGTTCCTCTAGGAATTAAAGGAAATATATAATATAATAATTATTATTGTTCATAATCATATCAATTATAATCAAACGACTTCGAAACTTGACTTTTATAGTTTTCTTTGTTCTCTCCTATTTGCCGTCTTTGGGGTAGTAGAATTTCCGATCATCCCATCCTATGTCAGTGAAAATAGGATTGGTTATGATAGAGCAGAAAAACTAAATAGTACCAAGGAAAATCTAAGACAGGAAGTGAGGCATATAAGAGAAGCTTTGAACCTTATTAGTTACCCTAATAAGTTAGTCAGAAAGTATGTAGGGAAATGTAAAAATAAAATAAATATTGATAGTAGTGTTAGTGGTATTAGTGATATTAATAATAATAATAGTGATATTGATGACGACATGCTTGTCAAACATGCGAAGATAATAACAACATCAACAATAAGGAATCTAAGTCATCAGTAGTAATTCCATACAAGGAAGGAACCTCGGAAACCTTACGGAGAATTCTTAACAAAACAGGCAAGAACAAAAGTGACTCGGATTCAAACCACCCACAAACTCAATTAGAAACAAGCTTTGTCGGTTAAAGGATCCCTTCTATGGAGCCAATAAAACATAACAATTTAGTTTATCTAATACCTCACCTGCGATGATTGTCAGGTCAAATACATAGGTCAAAGTAATGGAACAGGGGCAGTCAGAATAGTGGAGCATAAAGACCTAGCAGAAAAATCTAGATGAGTTAACCAGAATAAGATAAGAAATCTGGAGAATGGCTCAGCCGTAGATGACACCACCTGCAATTACACATAACTATACAATAGGATGGATGGGATAAAATGAAAGTTTTAAAATCTAATGTAACGGAGGGAGAGATTGATAACAGAAGCTTTGTTTATCGAATCAACTGCAAATACGTGTAATAGGAATGATTCAACCCCTGTCCACCCAGATATCTGGAAAATTCTACTATCCCAACGACGACAAATAGGAGAGAACAAAGAAAACTATAAAAGTCAAGTTTCGAGGATGTGTGATTATAGTTAATGATATGATTATGAACAATAATAAATTTTGTTCGAAACTTTGTCATCCAGTAAATAATACCGTTTACAGACTGTGTGATATATCTAATAAACAAACTAATATGATCTCATTGTATTCATTTATCAATATTCCTTAATAGATTTCGTTTTTGTTGTCATTTCGGTCAGATTTTGGGGATTATTATTTTTGTTTTTATCTAACTTACTACTGACAACAGTCAGTAATCAACCCAAACCAATTCTCATCAAACGATGTGGTGAATAGTTTTCAATTATGATTTATAATTCAGAGATCAATACAAACTTGAAAGTTTCACTTATATTTTACAGGAAAGGTGATAAGATGCTCTTGGAAAGAAATGTTAAATTTTCTGAGCTCATCAGATGCTTCTAATCATCAAAAAAAGCTGAATGTCTAATAATTATAGGCAGATGAGTGACTTCATCTGTCCTCCACTTTATCTAGGTGACTTTGTCTGCTCACCTGGAGCACATGAGAGATTTGCTTCGTTCTGACTACGTTCTCATTATTTGATCATCGTGTAATAGCAGAAGGCAAGACACGAAAACCTAGGTCTCTCTTGTTAAGTAAGCTTGCTGCAACACAGTGAGAGCTGGATAAATAAGTGGTTGTATTCCTACTTTTCTGATAGGAAGCAGTACACTGTCTACAATGGAAAGTCTTCCACTACCTCACTTACTTTACCTGGTGTTCCTCAAGGTGCTGTTCTTTCTCCTTTTCTGTTTTCTTTTTTCTTACATGACTTGCCCCATTCTGATATAGCAAATTTTGCCAAGTATGCTGATGACCTCTCTGTCTCCATGCCTGTCAACTCTCAGTCAGACTGTTCCATATTAAATAACTTTCTCTCGGAAATTAGTCAGTGGTCCTCTTCAAACGGTCTTAAGCTGAATCCGTCTAAATGTCAGGTAGTCAATTTTACTCTCAGACGAAAAAGTGATCTACAACAACTAGCTAGCTCACATGGTCCCACTATCATTGACGGCATAGAGGTTGAAACTACATCTGATGTCAAGTACCTTGGACTTGGTATTTCCTCCGATCTTTCCTCGTCCTCTCACATCTCGCTAGTTACTAGAAAGATGTTTCGCTTAACGTTCTACGTTAGGAAGTTTAGGCAGTCTGGTATAAAGCAGTCTTTGCTTTCTCAGTTTGTCAATTCTTGTATTCTAACCATCCCTCTTTACTGCTCCCCATTAATCTTTCCTGGACTACTTAAGAAAGACTTTGCTTCGCTGCGTAGGGTACTAAAAGCTGTTAGTAGGGCAACTGGGATTTCGTTAAACCAACTGGTTAACACCATTGTGGATAGATATATTATGTCATGTAAGAAACTAGCGAATACTACATTGTCAGACCCCGAACACCCTCTCCATACGCAGCTCTCTCCTTGCATTTCATCTGGTAGAACCAGAAGCAACTATAGGAAGCTATATGCCAGGACTACCAAGTACAATAACTCCACAATACCTTATCTGGCACAGCTGTTATGTGATGAGAAAACTGTTAGGCATGACACGATCAACTTACTGCGGCACTCTAACAAATAGCTCCCATTAGCTTTTGTTTTCCTTTCTTTGTTACTATTATATTGTTGCTCATATATTCTATTACAGACTAATTTTATATATCATATCCTGTGCTGCATTGTTTAAATATGTGAATGCAATGGTGTTCTTTTTTATTTCTTTTATTTCTCTTTTCTCTTTTTGTTGTTGTTGCTTTTTATTTTTAAATCCTTATAAAATTTATGAGGTAATTAGATGCAATATTGTAATGAACGCTGAAAATTCCATACCTGTACCACAAATACTGTTTGGAATAAAGCCATTATTATTATTATTATATTTTCAAGAGATTAAACCGCTATTTATCTGTATACAGTTGTATATTCTCTAACCAATCACTGAACCTGTGATTTCGGTTAACACTGAACGACGTGAAATAGAATGTTCAAATACATATATTATTATTATTCTGTGGCTAATGCAGTATTGAACTGTGGAAAAATGTGAGAATAATATTCCGTTGGAACGCATTGTCTGTATCACACCATCGCAGTAGTAGTTAGTATCAACACTGAATATAGTGTATTAAGCGAATTTTTCAAATGAAAATTGAAATACATTGACGACTGAATATTGTCACGTTTGCAAAAGCAAAATTAGTTAAAAGACGGTTGCAGCAAAGAAAATTTTACTTTTCAACGAAGTCATCAACTAGGTAGCTGTAAATTTGTGTATTTATATTATATGTGTGAGAAAGTTCCAGAATTATTTCCGGTCAAAGGTCAAATTAATAAAATTACTTAGTGTAATAAACAGAAGATAGGTAGTATTGGGACACTTCAACATGTATATACAAGTTCACTTGCACGTGTGCAGTCGAGTACATTGACCGTACCATGCGTCCGCTTGCAAAACACGCGCGGGAATAATATCCAGCTTGGTTAGCAAAGGAAAGACACAAAGGGGTATACAGTTCGATAACAGAACATCTGGTGAATTCTGGACATTCAGTTCCATTTAGGAAGTCCTTCAACGCCATATATAAGATCCAATCCAACCTATCAAAAAGAGTGAAATCAAGCCATCTAGGAGTAGCTCAGGCACTGGTGATACAACAGCTCAAGCCTACTCTATGTGTCGAAAAGAAATACGTCCAACCGTTGTCCCTACGGTGGCCATCATGAAAAGTCAGTCCCACCAATAATCATCATCCTATCACCTTTCTTGTCCAACCTTACCGTTTATTTGTTATATTTACGTTTGTGAATCCCTATCTGCACTATTAGATTTGGTTCTGTTTTCATTTTTATACATCCGAATCTCCTACCCATTTTGTTAATACTACATGCTTAACCCGTAATTATACAAACTGACTAGTTTTCTAGTAATTATGATCCTATCTTGTCTTTTCTACCCAATCTTCCTGACTATTACACGTGGTAATTTTATTAATTTGACTGGAAATAATTCTGAAACTTTCTCACACATTTAATATAAATACACAAATGTACAGCCTAAATGATTTTCGAATGGTACTGAATGTCCTGAATTGACCAGATGTTCTGTCACTGAACTATATACACGTTTTCGTTCTCCTTTTACTAGCCAGGCTGCATGGTGTTCACGAGCGCGTTTTTCAATTTGGCGCATGGTATGGCCAATGTACTCAGTCAACTCTGCAAGAGCAAGTAAACTGGTATATGCACGTTGAAGTGGCCCAATGCGACAGCTTGTTTTTCGTGTTCTGGCTGAACAGTTTCTTGCAGGAAAACGTTAGTCGTAGGCTCGCGGCGAAGTTTATTTTCGTCAGGGATTTTGAGAGGCATTTAGGAAGGATTTCTGATTCATTATCACCTTTGAATTCTAGATTAAGCAGAAGTATTTTCTTCCGGACGGATTGAACTTTTTCGGAAGTATTCTTTGATAAGAAATTCTTGTCTATGAACCTGGGCGGAAAACCGTTTTCCATAAGGGTTCTTCGGGAGTTTATGCAGTTCTTCGTCAATCACTTCCTTGCTGCATATCTTCCGAATCCTCGAAGAAAGAGCGTATGTCAGGTTTCTCTTTCTGCTTAGTGGCACAAAGCTTTGAAAGTTGATGAAATGTCCTAATTCGTAATTGTAATTTTACTAATTTTACCCTTAACCAGAAATTGTTCTGAAACTTTGGTACCAATTTATCATGAACACACGAATGTACAGCTATCTAGTTGATGACTTCGTCGAAAAGAAGATTTTCTTTTCTGCAACCGTCTTTTTAATATATATATATTTATATATATATATATTATACGCACAGTAAATTATGATCTGTACTTAATTCCTATTTTCTCCTCTACACATTTTAGGCGATTTTTCCGGTCAAATGTCTCGTGGAATACCAAGAAATGTTTTTTACAACGTAGAATATCTTCAACATATTTATGATTTGGGTGAAGGCACTTATATACCTGAATTAATTGGTCGATATAAAGACCCTTATATCTTCAAACTAAACCCAAGTAGTATTGGTCAATACGACAAAGTGTTGTCTAGGGGTGACTGGACACAAGAAGAAGAGAATGATATGTTTCAGTTTGCCTATCTATGCTATGGAGTTAGATTTGATGAAACACAATATTATAAAAATGCCCACCCTGGTTTCTGGAAACAGGCTGTAACATTCTGTCCGGTGATTAAATCTATTCTACAGCTATCTGTCAATGAAACTGAACAAAAATTTCATCCAGAAAGACTACGATCACTGTATGCAAGTTCTAGGCAAAAATATCCAAGTTTGACAGAGATCCTCACTTTGATACCTGGACACGGTATCTTTGAATACCGAACACATCCGGAATTTTCGGCACCTCAGTTTACAACCCATGTACCTCCATCTATCCATGTTGATACTCAGACAGTTAGCCAGAACATGTTAAATAGCCTTGAGGATAGCAGTCAGATAAAAACAGAAGAAACTTCACTTTCCAGTGACAGTAGTGTCACACAATCAACCGACATCAATGAGGAAAGTGTGGTGCAAAGGGCAGAACTTACAGACAGTGATTATTCACATTCATCAACTGAGCCTGAAGGAAAGGATATGTCTAAAACAGATGAATTCTCTGACGAAACTTCTATTTCTATTCAAGAAGATCATAGTCCATCTGTTAAGAATGAAGCAGCTGAATTCGCCGCTGATATTGTCGAGTCGCCAGCCATGCATGCAGAAGAAACAACATTTGGGACGAGCAGTGCTAATGAAGAGGTAGGTGATGCGGAGAATACTGTCGAGGTGAAAGGCTACGAAGCAGCAAGTGAACCTGAAGATAACGAAAGGACCACCTCTCAACACTATTCAGCTGAATAAGATATTGAGGTAAATATTTTCAAAGTAGAATATTATAATGTCAATGTAATAAACTGACTGTGTTCTAAAGTTTATTGACCTTCGAATAAAGTGGGCATTATACTTACTCGGTAACTGTTAAGGCTTCAACATGACGGAGAAACATCGTTGCAATAAGGTTTACCCCATGATGACTGGAAATATCTCTGAATGAAAGAAATGTTGTTCTTTTATTTGCCTTTGATATGAAACTTCATCACTACGTACCCTAACAAGTTAACCTACTAATTGTGGAATAATGTCCTGCCATGATAGTTTCAATAGACTCTTAGTACAACTTCAATGAAAACAGATAAAATAATCGATTTTAGTGAGTCAACCGTAGATTTTGGTAATTTAACTTTGTTGTAAGCAAAGGCATGCTCATTTTCTCCCTACTAAAATTTGTGCTAATGCAATTTTCAGTCTATCTATCTACTCCAGAAAAACTGTTGAACTTATTTTTGATCGGATACTAGTCAGTAACTAGTGTAATGTGTCTAGTCCTTTGTTTTATTGAAGACCGAATTCTATCAGTCAAGTTTACAATGTGGCTATCATTCTAAATGGCTTGCCATCATGATGCTCTGTGAATTAATGAAATTGGATGGTTGGAGGTAGTTGACCACAGGAAGCCTTGTTCGACCTAGGTTTCGTGCTAGTTGGTACTCACTAATCAGCAAGGCGTCTCTGCATCCTTGGAGAAACCCATATCCATCCTAGAGCTTGAACCCGCATCACGCAGTGCTGCAGTCAGAGACGTTACCACTGAGCTAGCTATTTGGGCTCGCTACTGACCTCCTTCAGGATTATATTGAATATTTTTGAATGGACACTAGTCGCTAACGTCTCTGACCGCAGCGCTGGGTGACACTGGTTCGAGTCTCAGGAAGGAAATTAGTCCCTTCAAGGTAGCAGATACGCCTAGCTGACTGGTGATTGCCAAATAACACGAAACTTAGGTCAAGCAAGACTTCCTGACGATTGCCTCCACCCATTTAATTTTTTTACTTAACCACACGATTACTTAATGAAACATTTTAAAATCACTGTTAGTAAGAGAATGACGACAAAATAATTTTATTTCTCCTGGTATGATGGGTAGACTGCCTCAAGTAGAGTAAAAGAGAAGCTTATCTGTTGCTGTTGTAGTAATATACTAATAATTCTGTCAAGGAAGAGAACACACCTGAATGAATTGGAGAAACGATAGATTATGATTTATGCTTTTATCGTTTTGTACTGTCAACCTCCTCCTCCTTCACTTCACTAATACATCTACTAGGAGTACTAATAATGATAGAATTACTACTATTCATGCACTAATTACATCCTTTATTGCCACCAAACGAAAGTGATGAGGTTTTATAGGATCAGATTCCAGCATTATCTCACTAATTAGATGATTTTTTTCCTTCACGCTCCCCAGTGGAACATAGGGCTTCAAGCTAGTGGCTTGAAGTTTCTGTAGCAGTGATTATTTTACAGGATAGGGTTGCCAGCCTCATCCCAACCTTTCCTCTTCACCAGCATTATTTCTGGCTTAGCTAGGTAAAGGAGTGCGTCGGCCGGGGATCGAACCCTGGACCATGTGCATGGTCGGCGAGCGTCCTAACCACTATGCCACCGACGCACAATTAGACGATTATATGTCTAATATTGAGAGATTTACACTGTATTGTATTTAAGCTATGGTAAGTATTACCCGACTGCTGAAGATGTCGACAACCGATTTGTGACTGATCGGCCGGAGATCTAGTCTCTAGAGTAATGGATAATAACTCCATGAAGGGTGGATATCCATTTAAAAAAATATTCATCGAAATAATTGATAAAAGTAACTATAGTGATGGTAAGTGGATTACACGTGGACCTGCTCCATCTGTTTCATGATGACATTAAGATAACTACACTGGCCTTCAACTCCCTGAATTAGTGATAAATGTTTTTTAATTCCTTTACGTTCCCAGATGAACATAGGGCACCTTCAAGCTAGTGGCTTGAAGTTTCTGTAGCAGTAGTGTTTATTTTTACTGGATGGGGTTGCTAGCCTCATGCCCAACTTTCCCTATCTACCAGTCTTATTACCGGCTTACCGAGGTAAAGGAGTGCGTCTGTGGCCGGGGATCGAACCGAGAACCACTTGCGTGGTTAACGAGCATTCTACCGTTGTGCCACCGACTCACGAATTAGTGATAAATACATAATCTTAATCATTAGAAGCTGAAACTGCTGAAATGGAGACAATCACTTTATTAATATATCCACCTCCAGTATTTCAATCCAGCCGTCAGAGAATCTCTCCAAACAAACCACTGCACATTCTAATGTTTTGACAAGAAATATTGTGGAGGGGGGGGGAACGACCATGTCAAGGTTTTATTGACTAATCGTCCCACAGTATGCTAAATTCTCCACAGTTGTGCATCAGCATGAGGATAGGACACTTTAATGAGTGATTCGAAATAGCCTTAGGAATGAAAATGGTAAAAAAAATGGAAAGTAGATTTTTGAAATGCTTATTAGTGAAACATTGCTCACACTACTCATAAACCGTCACAAGCTTAGATTATGGGCATACTTTGTAACGAAATGAGACTAACGCCGAGTGTCGTTACAGCGAAGCTAATGTCACACGGTTGGTGGAAACACCATCAACGGGTGTGTGATTTCCAGAGCTTTTCTTTGTTAAATTCAACTCGTAACGACAACAAAACGATTTCATAACAAGCTTTATGTAACCTTACTTCTGAATGATTTTGATTGCAGTTTTCCATAAATGTGGTACAAGGGTTGAACTGTTTGATGTTGATTCGATGAAGGAAGATTCAGAGATTAGCCTCTTTCTCTCTCCATCTAACTATATTACGTTATTTAACACAACAGGTTCTATCATTCTGGATCTAGCTAAATTAGTTTGTTCCCATCCTATAACTAAACCTAATCCACATACACTTCAACACATAAACTGACACTGAGTGATTTGATGAGGGCAAATACTACCTCGACTCCCGTCTTAGTAAGATCCCTACATGAGCCATCTAACTCCAATGTGAAGTCAGTGCTACTATACGGATCAGAGATTTGGCGCGCCATAAAAAGCATCTCAAACAAACTACAGACCTTCATTAACAGTTGTCTTCGCTCAATACTCAAGATCAGATGGCCAGCCAGAAAAGATCAGCAACAGAGATCTCTGGCAATGAGCGAACCAACCCATCAGGAACCGATTGTGAAACAAATATGCAGGAAGAAATGGAGATGGATTGGCTGGCCATACTCTGAGGAAACAAGTCATCAAGTGACATCACTAGACAAGCCATCGCTCGAGTGGAACCCGGAAGGGAAGCGGCGAGTTGGTCGTCAGTGCGAGGGTGCCTTGGAGGAGGTCATGTGAAGAGGAGATGAAAACGTGTGGGCAGACTTGGAGGCAGGTGAAGACTATAGCAGAGAAGCGAACGCAATGGAGACGCGCGGCTGAAGACCTATGTTCCTCTAGGAATTAAAGGGAACAATAATAATATTGATGAGCCATCTAATATTCCTCGTTTGTGTGGTAGTATTATCGACACCTACTTGTAAATAAGAGCAGTAATGCATGCAGGGAAAATAATATAAATAATAGGGAATTCAATGTGATATGAATGTGAGCGATAAACTGTGCTCGACATATCGTTCAGTTATTATTAACACACTGCATCACTGTGTGTTATATCAAATACCAATACTCGACAGTCACTGAGATGCTCACTAGCCCTATTCACGTAGGTAGTTACCTGGGTTCTTGTGGGAAGTAGTGATCAGTAGGGTACAGCAGGTCGGGTGTAAGGACAAATACTCACCAACGATGACATTGGCTAGAGGTCGCGCTATTTCATGAATTAGCAGAAGTTGGAATTCATGGACTGACTGGCTATTGGATCAGGTGCCAGTGACTGTTTAATGGTGTAGGAGCTCTCCCTGTAACCCGAAGGTCCTAAGTTAGAACCCTGGAGGTGGATGCGTACTGATGAAGAGTCCCAAACAAGGGTGACGAAACAGCTGTCCAGTACTCCCTGTGGTTGGTTTTCCAATAGTTCTCTAGCCGACGTCAGCTCATGACAAAATCCTGTAACCAATCGATGAAATCCCTACAAAACCAACACTTGAAAATCTATTTAATATGGAAATTTATTCCAACGTAATGCTCAAATTCTACTTTTAAAATAAACAAGTTTTATTGTGAATCGCTTTTAAAGAGTCTCCTTATTCTGACAGTTTTGTTTGTGTGTTTTTTTTTTTACTTTTAGATTTACGTCAACAGTTCTCACTAATTACTGACTTACATTTACTTGATTTATGGTACTCACATCAATATTATGTAATTTCATTTATTTAATCATATGACATTGTGGATATATGTATCCTTATTTATTCTAATACAATGCAATATTCAGAAACTAGCGTTTTTGTGATTGAAATATATACCTTAGTAAACGTGTAACAGGTGGCTTCATGACAATAATTTATTAACGGTAATAATAATGGCTTCATTCTAAACTGTACTTTTGGTACAAATATGGAATTTTCAGCATGTAGTAAGTAGTACAGTACAGTATTACATATAATATCCTCATTACGTGGGTTGTAATCAAAACGCAACATTTAAATTGTTAATATTGATTAGTAAGAAAATGAGTGAGCAAAGAATATCCTTTTCCATAATTTCCTCCTCTTCTGGCTCTACAATTATATATGCATCTGTGTTTATATACATAGAATATTCTCGAATTTTGGTCAATAACAATATTAGCGCTTTTAAGTAATATCGATTTGTTAAGTTAGATCACAATGGAATTACAGTCCATTAAAGATGCTTAAATTATAATAATAATAATGAAGATATAATAGAAAATAGAATAACAACTAAAATTATGAAAATTCCACAGAAATTCAGGATCATCCGAACCTAGATGGCAAAGGTAAGGATAATGTCTCAACTAGCTTCTTTTGGATGCACAAATTAGGCTTCTCAATATGCATCCCAACAGCCTCAGCGATATTTAGTAGACAAACTCTTAAGGCGAAATTGAGATTTTTTGGTATGCAGTTAATGACTTTGAAAGCTGCATGGTTTAAATAAATCTTGTGTTCTGTATCCACAAGAAGAGATATAATAGCGCTTCGAATAGATTTTGTTTGTCCCTTACTTAACCACACAGGATGATGTTGGAAATTCGATGAGAAACATGCCCATTTGTACGGCCTATGTAATTGGATCACTCCACAGGAACAGTTAAACTGGTAGATACATATGGAAGAGGTGAAGTTAAGCAGTTTGTGTTTTACTCCCGAACGCGAAACAGCGGTGGTTTTGAAGACAGAGTAATTCGGCACCAGGGAATGCTCTTTTTTACCGCATTTCTAAGGCGCTGTGTTGGTATCTCGCTGATGTTGTCCCCAAGGAACTGCATTTGTAAGAATAAGGCCTTTCTAAGAACTGTTGGTACCTTGGGTTCCTTGATTTTTGATTCATATTCTTATCAATAAACTTTTCTGGTTAACCGTTTTCACTCAGCAACCGTTTAATCTTATTAAGTTCCTCATCAAGACATTCATCCGAGCAGATTGCTCTTGCTCTGTGAACCAAGCACTTTATCAGATTGCGTTTGTATTTCAAGGACACAAAGCTGAGAAAATGATGTAGGTTTTCTATACACACTTCTTATTGTGGCATCCTCTTTTCTGGTCATAAGGACGTCTAAAAATGAAATACTACAGTCTTTTCTTTTCTCAATAGTAAAATTTATTGCAGGATGAGCATCGCTGCTTTTCGCTTCCTTCTCAGTTTTCATGATCAAAACTATTTCATCCATGTACCATTCAAGTTCATCAGTGACATCCTTCCAAGGCCAATTTTCCTGTTTCTAGAATAGGTCCCGCTGGTAACCCCATCGCTACACCATCTATTTGTCTATATAGTTCCTTATTAAATAAAAAGTGGACATTCATTGTGCATTTCAAGAGAAGCTCTTTTATAAATGATATAGGAATGCCAACATCTATGTTTCGTCTTATGACTTCTTCGTAAAGTCTACTGTTTCCATAAGTACATTGGTATATGGAGAGGATGTTCAAAGTTTGATGAAAAAATGTTTGCTAATTTCTTTCAGGAATTCAAATGTCTATCTACAATAGTACTGACGAGTTGGTTTAGCAACACCCCACTCACCCTACTGGCGGCCTTTAGTGCCCTTCGCAGTAAAACAAAGTCCTTCTTAGGTAACCCGAAAAAGATTATTCTGGGAAGGCAATAAAGAAGAATGTGTAGAAACCAAGAATTAACACACTAAGAAAGTAGAGATTGAGCGATATCAGTTATATATGTCCAAACCAGGTTCACTTTTAACAGTTTGAAAAAATGTCTGCATTGGGTATATGATATTCATCATAATAAAGGTTTTTGTACTTCTCAATGAATGAAAAACAGTGAACGATATTGTTTTTACAGACGTTTCGCTATTTAATACTACTGCTAATAGCTTTATCAAATTATTATCAGACCAGAATTTACAAAATCCACTCAGCTTATATTTAACAACTTAATCATCGTTCCTCAGTATGGGGTCATTTCTGCGTTGTCAATTCGGCCAATTGGTGAAGATAACAAAACCAGGTGTGAACGGCTGTTAGATTTGAAAAGTGTGTAAAATTTTAAAAGCAGAGACCAGCGAGAAATCCATTTGAGCCAGAAAAGCTTGAAATACTATCAGTCATAGGTCGTCTATATGCTGTAGAATCAGGCCACAAAACTGATTTTGACAATAATGAAAAAATCGAGAAAAACTTCAGAAATCACAAAGAACGTGTAATATCATCAGAAGTAATTCATATGATCAGATTGAATCCAAATTGTCTGAATTTGACCTGGTTACAACACCGTGCCTCCCCAACCTTTGAAATGACAAAATCAACATAAATTTGATAAGCAATTTCACTATGCAAACACTCGCTGCTTTTGTAATTTTACACACTTTTCAAATCTAACAGTCGTCCACACCTGGTTTTGTTATCTTCACCAATTGGCCAAATTGACAACGCAGAAATGACCCCATACTGAGGAACGATGATTAAGTTGTTAAATATAAGCTGAGTGGATTTTGTAAATTCTGGTCTGATAATAATTTGATAAAGCTATTAGCAGTAGTATTAAATAGCGAAACGTCTGTAAAAACAATATCGTTTCGTTTTTTATTCATTGGGAAAACCTTTATTATAATGAGTGATACCAGACTATCTTAACTTCCTAATGTAGAACGTTAAACGAAACATCTCTCTAGGCACTAACATGATGTGGAAAGAACAGGAAAGATCAATAACTGTAAGTAAGCAGCACAACATTTTCAGTCCTTATTCAAAGACCGAAAACGTCGTCCATAGGTTATTGATGAATTTCAGACCAGAAATAAGACTGAAAGTCAGCTATAATTATTCAAAGAAAAAATTTATCCTTTAGCATCTGTAAGTGAATACTGTATTAGTGTAACAAGCCTCAAAACCAATTCCCTACAATTTGCATTCGGCAGATGAAATTCCTTGCTTACAGATAAGAGTAGCAACCGAACACTGATGAGCAGATTGACGAGGTAGTTAGCCAATAAAGACAAAGTGTGTTTATGAATCTGAACTATTTCACCCACAGCAACGCCATGGACATCTGTGATGCAAATTTCCACCTATGTTTTCATATGCAAAGACATGAAACAAACACACCGACCATTTATGAGTCTCACTAGAGAACGAGACACACAGTTTCAGTACTCCAGTTTTACTGGATACTTCTGACCTATATCAGATGGTTGGAGGTTATGGGCAGGAAGCCTTGCTTGACCAGGGTTTCGTGCTTGTTGGCACTCGTTAACAAGGCGTATCTTCATCCTTGAAGAAACTCGTGTTCCGACGGCACCCAGTTCTGCAGTCAGAGACGTTACTGCAGACTGACGGAATTCAGTCTGCACCAAATAAACAACTGGACACATTACACCAGTAACTAATTAATGTCCAACCAAAACACTTCTGTTGTGGGTAAAGTCTCATAGTGTTATACAGTAATATTTACTGATGACCACGTTTTGAGAACAATTTATTACTGCTCTTAATCATATCAAAGTGATATGATTTCTTATCTCAGCCAGGTACACGTTGGACACAGGTCATTCCTGTTCGAATTGTAGGTTTGAACGAGAATAACAAATACATTCAAATTGTATTACACATAGAGATCAGGTGGTGTTTAAAACAGGATTGGGTTCTATGAAATGAGTGCTGGGGGAGGAGACAACCAATCATCTTCTTCAAAACGTAACTGTCGTCACTGTGTGAACAGGATAACTTATTACATAAGTCTGCATATCAGTTAAACATCCAGGAGAACAACTAACGGGATTAAGACAATGCATTCAATTTTTCCTCAGTCTTAGAATCGGTCGGCAGTGAAATAAACAAACGCAGACGACTCAGTGATAATCTGGGTTTGTGCACAGTTTATTCAGTGTAGTCAATAGTAATGATCAAGATAAACTGTCACACATATACTGTATACACTGAGGCAGTAATATATAGTGAAATGAATTAACAAGCTTATGTGAGACCTGACTGATGTTAACGAATAAAACACGTTGTGTGATGTTGATTTGTATACTTATACTAACGTGATTGAGTAGAGCTGAAGTTCGAACCCTACGAAAGTTTTCATCAGCGTAAAAGTTGTCAGATAATAAGGAATAAAAGAAACACGTAAGATCAAAATAAAGACAAGAAAATCGTACGAGAGGTTCACTCCTTATCACCCTACAACTTCATTAGTTTGATACCTCTCTATAACCACATGCATCAAAATGGAAACAATGTGAAAAAGACCTGCTGTCTTCAATCTGTCATCAATTCTACTGATAAGCACAGCCAGAAAAAAGATTTCACTTCGTATTTTTCCTTCTCTTGATAAGCCATTCCATTCAAATGTTCTATTAGTGTGTTTACTGGTGGCTTTTATTTCACCAACTTGAAGAATCAAAACAGTAAAGTTGGAGTGTCTGATGCAGATTTCATGTCTGACTTGTAAGAACTTCATCAGTTTGTGTGACATGACATAATCTAGTGATAATTACAAATTCTCCCACAAAGCTCCTAATATGGTGTGAGCGACTTAGACTATGATGGTGACTGCTTTTATCCATAGGACTTTTCTGGTAAGGTTGGTTCTGTGGCAACATTTGTTGGTCATTGTACGCTGTGTTTCGTTGAGATGTACAGACCTTACCACCATGTCGGGCATCATGATGTGGTCATGTAGTCCGATGTTATGTCCTCAGA